TAGACAGTAACAGTAATTATTATTATATAATAAAATACATTTAAAAATGAAGATTTCTTATTAATTATTTTAATATTAATAATAATTTAATGATAATTACATTAATTTAATTATAATAATATTGTCGTGCCCAGTGGGGACAGAGCGGAGACAAAGGCGCAGACTTCAGGGTATCGGGGAATACGGGGTTTAATTACAGGTAAGGCAGGCAAAATGCAGATGGACAATACAATGGCCGGACTGGGGAAACAAACTGAAACGCGGAGGAAATACAGAGGATTAATGACAACAACCAGAAACAGCTGATCATATGGGGATTTCACACGGGGTTAACGAGGGGGCGTGGCACACGGAAGGAGCGGACAATCGGGGCAGACATTGTTTTTTTTTTTGACTTTACACATTGTTTGGATACATTTATTTTCTTACTTTAAAATTACTATTTTTATAAATGTGCTTAGATGTGTTTAGTACAGTACATGCTTTTGTGTTTAAATGCTAAAAAAAAACATATTTAGGTGGGAACCAATTAATTGGTTTTCCATTATTTCTTATGGGGAAAATTCGATCAGAACTCTAGCTTTTTAGGATTTGATCCGGAGTTCTGAACAGATTAAGTTAGAGTTCTGAGGTACCACTGTATTAAATCATTTAAAGCTTTATTCACTAGTTCAGTCACTTTTATGTGTCTTTACTATGGCAAATGAGGGGAAATGCTTATGTTAGACAGTAGGCCAAACAGCTCGAATAAGGATATAACGTATAATATTTTAGTAATGCTAATAGATTTGTGCTAAAGTGGTTTGGCTCCTCCTGTATGCAGGTTAGGCTCCTGTGGGTATTAATATCCTGAATGATAAATTGCTGCTCAATCTCCCAGTGATGGGGGCTGCAGAGATGAGAATAACAGAAGAGCCAGCAGAATCTGATTGGTGGTAGAAATGTGTAAATCCTCCACCTCCCTTGACCCCCCCGTCTGTGCCCCAGGTACGAGCCTGGGCAGTGGAGTCCCTGCTCGGCCTCATGCGGCGTGGGCGTTCAGACGCGGCAGGTGCCCTGCGTGATCCATGACAAGGCGGGCGGCCAGGTGGTGCAGGATGCCCTTTGTGCCCGCTACACTGCCCGCCCCGCCACCCGGCAGGACTGCCAGATGCCGCCCTGCCCCGACGACCGCTACATGGGTATCTGTCGTTCCTTACTCAGCGTATCACTGATTCAGTTCTGAATTTACTGAACTTCAGGATGGAAACAGTGAAGGGGAACCTCTTGCTTCTGTGTAAAGGCTAGTTTGCTTGTAGGGGAGATCGTCAGTAATGTCAGTCCTTAAATTAACTCCAGTTACCTTCAGTGAGGGATAAAGGATATCACAGTAAATCAGAAGCACATGGGATGGTTCCACTCAGATCTGCACTGTAGATCAGCCAGCTAAACACAGTATAACCAGCGGCTGAAACAGACACTGGCCTCCTGTATCTCTCTGTACTCTCAGTCTACAGTCCGGAGCGTACGAAGGTGTCCGTCGTGAGCGCTGTGCTCGATCCGCTCGGCGCCATCGGCAGCACACACTGCAGCCAGTCCTATTACGGCTGCTGCTCCGACGGGAAGACTGAGGCTGGGGGCCTGTATGGGGAGGGCTGCCCATCTGATCTGTGTTCCAGGAGCAGGTAGCCGTCAGCTGCGTCTCTGGGTGCATGTAACCGGAGGGTAGGGGGAGGGGGTGGACCACAATGTGTAGGGGGTGATACTGCATATATATGTTATGTTTCTGCGCTTGTGAATGGATGGATGGATGGTTGGATGTATGTATGTTTTTATGTAATAAATAAAATTGGAGGTAGTCACAGAAACGCAGAAGATTTAACCAAAATGGAAGAATGAATATCAAGAATTACTGTGGATGTATCAGTTTGTCCATCCATCCATCCATCCATCCAACTGGTGTTCCCAGAGAATCAAAGGCACTATGCAATAAAGATACATGCTGTATCCAAAGTCCCAGGAACCTTCACAGTGTCCATCATTTCCACCGCACTGCCACTCTGTGTGCATTATAAGTATGACCACCTTGGGCTGGGCTGTTGCAGGTATGGGTGCTGTCCAGATGGCATGACTGCAGCCCAGGGTCCCAGCAGGGAGGGCTGCCTGAAGAAGGACGTCTACACTGATGTTGTGAGGGTCCATCCTCTCTGACTGCTGCAACTTTCTCTTCTCTCTGAATCTCTGAATGCCCACTGGTCCAGTAAGACTTCAGGCTACACTCAGTGTGTGATCAGCCTGGAGAAGCTGGCTCAGTGCTTTCCAAAGAAACCAGCTTTTGTTGTGTTGATATAAATGCTGGGAAAAATCTAGAAATGTGCATCTCCAGCAGTGTGTGCTGTAAATGCGACCTTCCCAGTCACACTACAATTTGCTACACTGTCAGAAAAACAGTACCAATCAGTGCCTTGGCTTGTGTACTTTTTAAGGTACAGAAATGTGCTCTGAGAAACATCCCAAGCTACAAACAGCATTAATGTACCCCCAATGATACAAAAATGTTCCTCAGAGTCCATTTCTGTATCTTAAAAGGTACAATTACCTACAGCTAAGGGTACAATTGGCAGACCCTTGAGGGTACAGCCCAAGTGACAAGCAAAGGTACTCGTTTTTTCTGACAGTGTACCGCAAGTATTTAAGTGACTCAGTGGTTCCAGTTCTGTCTCTGTTTAAAATCCATGACTGGATAAAGAGCAACCTTCTGTATTTTTATCTTGATATTTTCAACATTAACTTAACTGAGTGCATATCTACATAAAGTCAGGTACCCATGAGAACACCTCTAAGTAGCTGTTGTTCAGTATTTGGGCCGATTGCATTCAGAGGCCAGAGAGCAGAAACCAGACTGGAACTGAACATCGTGTTGCCAGTATCCTGACCGTCTCATTCTCCCACCTGTCATCAGGACCTCTCTGAGCCTCGGGGTGAGTCCAAAGGTGACTGTCACACCAGCACCTATGGCTGCTGCCCCGACCAGGTCACCTGGGCATTGGGCTCCCGCGGGGAGGGGTGTCACAGCCGCGTGAAAGCCGGTAAGCCCCGGTCTCGGCAGGCCTGTTAACAGTGAGAGGCGTCACCAGCCCCCGGTCTCGGCAGAGAATTAACGGCAGGCCTGTTAACAGTGAGAGGCGTCACTGGCATCACTGGAAGCGTCTCACTCTGTGCATCATAACATCTGCTTTCAGATCAGCAGACTATCTGCTCCCTGCCACGCAGCCCCGGCTCCTGCAGCAACTGGTCCTCCCGCTACCACTACGACCCCGCCACCGGCACCTGCTCCCACTTCTGGTATGGCGGTTGCCACGGCAACTCCAACAACTTCCCCACACGCGAGGAGTGCCAGCGGCAATGTGATGGCATAAGGGGAAGCCGGGCGAGCCCCGTCCCGGTGTATGAAATGGGGAGGGTCCGCACTGACCAGAAGGGCCCCGCGTCCAGTGTACGGGGCAGCGGGCGTCGCGTGAAAATGGCCACCATCCTGCGGCGCTCCTCTCCCACCTACCCCGTGCTGGGATAGGCTGGTGTGCGTTGTGACAGCCGCAGACCGTCACCCCCAGCTCCTCTACACCTCGGGCAGGGGGGCTGAATCGAGCAGGCAGGGAATGACTGACATTCTACCCTCCCTACTGAACGTGCCCTCTCACGGATAGTGTGGGTGGTGTAGGGGGAAGGAATCTCAGGACTGGTGGCAGCCATATTGGATAATAGTCAGTGCTTTGCGTTTCACATTCCTGCCTCATTCATTCAGCAGACGGCCATATTCAGAGCTAAGGTCCTGTAATATCAGTGTATCAACAACGGAGAGCGGTGAGAGATCAGTGGTATAGGTTAGCAGTTAGCTTTGGCTTTGACTAGCCCTGTTATCAACCGCCTGCAGAGTTAAACCACTAAGTTATACAGGGCCTCTTACACATCTATTTCACAGGATGACTTTTTTTTTGTAATTTCTGTCAATAAATTGATCTCATGAAGAATTTGCTGGATTGTGTGACCTTTTCCTGTTTTTTGATTTCCTTTGGGGAGAAATACACATTTTTTCTAATAATTGTGACACTACAGTATACATTTTACATAAGACAAGAAAACTTTATTCATTCTGAGGGAAATTATTGTGTCAACTCTTACCGTACAAGAATAGAACAACACAGCTTAAAAATACCAAAAATATAGAGATTAATAAAACACAGTAATATAATATAGAATAAGGAATAGCCTTCAATACAAGTATAAAGACAACAAAGGATAAAAAGACGTGGCATGTAAGAAGGAAGAGCCTGGTCTGTACTACTTTCACTGAAATAACTACTAAGTATAAAAAAAACAAGATCTTTCCAACTTTGGACCAATGTTGAATGTTCATAAAAGAAAAAAAACTTTTAAAAATCTACTCACAAGCCAATAAGTGCATTATTTGCACTTAGAAAACTAAATATTTACAAAAGCTGGACAGACATTCAGCAGGAACTTTATTAGGCATAATCCTCCACAGACTTTACTCAGCAGTATATGAAAATGCAAGGAGGGATCACCAAACAATAAACCAAATACACACATTGTGATATTTTACATATATTTCTTCACATTTTTGCTCCTGTTTCTTCGACCAGTCTCCATGAAATAGATAGATAGACAAACAGACCAATAATAGATAGATAGATAGATAGATAGATAGATAGATAGATAGATAGATAGATAGATAGATAGATAGATATATAGGGTGCTGCAACCATTTGCAGTGTTGTATTAAAGTGACTGTAGTGACAAGTGAGTAATATGTTGTGGTTAGATTTTCAACCATATTTCTTCTTTGATCTGTGTTGTACGTTCAGTTGAAAGCCAGCACATGCCGTTACCTGTGTGCTACGCCGGCGCCGTTTCCAAGGGTCAGACCACTAGCGGAGTGACCCATGCAGGGTGACACGGCGGCGGCGCGTGCGTGCGTGCGCGCACGCGGGGGTGTCGCACACTCCGACGTGCTCGTGGGGCGGTGCTGTCACACGCGTCCACTCCCGCCCCCACCCCCCATGCATTCCCAGTTTACCGCCGTGATCCGTGCACTGCGCTCCTAACAGCGGTCCGGTCTCCGGGAATCATGGTAAGCAGGCGCTCCGCCGCAGGGGACTGCGCGCTTTTATCAGGCTGATCATCCTAAAGGCGCCGCGCATTAGCGGCCGGCGGGGTGTCACGGGACCCTGAAAGGCACCGAAATAAACGGGAATGTGCATTATTAAAAGTTAGGATCGGTGTTCACATATATGCACCTCGGGCCTCTTAAGCCCTCAGGCGGCCATTTTAACCTAATTTTAGCTGAGTAAACGGGTCCAGAGTCATAATAACTAAAGTTAATAAAAATGTTTTTTCGCCTAAATCCTTTATATCAGTACTGATGTAATGATTCTATATGAAACTTTATATTTGTGTATAATGATTTTTATATACCTTTACATTATTATTATTATTATTATTATTATCATCATTATTATTATTATTATGGCGGCAAACAGCTGGTGAGAGCCGGTGCTTGCCCTGCGGCGATCGGCAGGCGGTCTGCGGTTTCTCCGCCCCCGCAAGCCGCACCATCCGCGCTCTGGTCACTGCGCTTTTCCTTGATAAATGCAATGCTTTCCCCTCCTTCTAAAAATACCACGTGTGTATTAACTAGGCTCGGTTACTGACAGACGCCTAAAAGACTCGTCACTCCGTTTCATACCGTCCTCACTTGTAATTAAGAGTTTGACTTGTCTTGGTTCTTACTAATAATTTACCTCAACATGGCACCCAAAGTCACACCCATCGGCAGAGCACAATGTCATTTATATATAAAATAAATTTGACTGCCAAGATAGTAACTGGTTATTTAGAAGCTTAAAAAATAGACTAACCAGGCAGCAAAAGTAGATACTCTGAGGGATGTCAAGCAGTGAATTTGCTGTGGATATAGTGTTATGGATAGAATCAAGGGCGCTCAGTGTTATATTCACAGTTCGGGTTAGAGGAAGACTCTCCCTAAGACACTGGCTGACTGCTATGGTCATGAGCTATTTCAGCTCTGACTCTTATGCTTAACTATGTGAAGGGGATAGGTGAGGATGACAGTAAGGCGTGACCTGTGGGAGATGGGCAGTTGGATCATTTTTGGGTGGGTTGGATTTATACCTGTGTTATAGTATTTCCTAGATACAAAAAGAACACATCTAGGTTATGTGGCGTTTTACGTTACGACTGTGTGTGAAATTAAGCACCAACTCAGCTGTGCTGCTCCCGTCCACCAGGCCTCGGGCGTCACAGTGAGCGACGAAGTCATCAAGGTGTTCAATGACATGAAGGTGCGCAAGTCCTCGTCGTCCGAAGACGTCAAAAAACGCAAGAAGGCCGTGCTGTTCTGCCTCAGCGACGACAAGAAGAAGATAATTGTGGAGGAGGACAAACAGATCCTCGTTGGTGACATCGGGGAGTCGGTGCACGACCCGTACGCCTCGTTCGTGAAGCTTTTACCTCTCAACGACTGCCGCTACGGCCTCTACGACGCCACATACGAAACAAAGGAGTCAAAGAAGGAAGACTTGGTGTTTATATTTTGGTATGTTTGTTGCCTGGGTGAGGTCGTTACGTTTGGTCGTTGAAAGAGAATGTGGATGATGGATAGGTCTGCTTTAGAGATTTCTGTTCTGTCTCCATTCATGATCGACTCTCACCTCACAGGGCCCCTGAAAATGCCCCTTTAAAAAGTAAGATGATCTATGCAAGTTCCAAAGACGCCATAAAGAAAAAGTTCACAGGTGAGCTCGCTCCCGGAGCGCTTCCGCTGTGTCTGAAAGAGATTTATAGGGATGAGTCTTCCTGAAAAGTAACTATGGAGGAATGTTCCTGTTGTTTAGCTACTGGATATCCGGGGATGTTTCTTAGCTAAGTGCAGTCTCGGGACCTGGATGGGAAATGGTCCAGGTTCCCGAAAAGCTTGCAGCCCACATTGACTGCTTGGTTAGAGCTTTGCTGTGACACAGAGCCGTGGCGTCATGGGTCGAGCCGGCGTGGTATTTCCCACATGAGGGCGGCTTCACTTGCTCCTGTCCACAGCCATTTGTCATCCTTAAATTGTGGGATACTCGATACTTTGTGATTCACTTGAACTGCTAACCAGGGCTCCCCCATGTGGTCAGTCCTGCCCTCCCCAACTCCATAATAAGCTTTCAACACAATCTAAACATTCTACTAGGCTTGGAATCTTGGCGATAGTATTTGCCAAGGAGGGGTGGGTGGTCTCAGTCATCAAATCCACTCCCATTATGGGTGAATTTTCAAGTGCCCCCCCCCCCCCCATCTGATATCAAAATACTAGAATTTGATACTGCCCAATTATACATTGTACTTTATTGTCCACATTGATCTGCTCACTTTTTCTAACTTAAATATACATCTTCATGTGGGTACTCATTATTGTGTGAACATGCCTGGGAAGTTACAGTACGATATAACTAATAGGATGTGATTGTCTTTCTGCTCGCGAGGGAAGTCCCAGGGGGCCCGTTGTGGTGAAATACAGGTCATGCTGCACATTGTGTCTGAGCTGTGTCATGTGATGTCTGCCATTGTTCTGCTGGGGAAGAGAGGCCCCACACAGGCTAAAGACTGCAGGTGTGCCTCCCGTGGGGGGGGGGGGGATTGCTAGTGCCCCACACCTGCCAAGAAGGCCTCTGTCCCCATCTGGCCGTGTGTCTGCTACGCTGGTGCTGACTATGCCCTTTGACCCTTTCCTGTTGCCATTACAGTTCCTGGTCTCTCTCCCTCATCCAGGCATCAAGCATGAGTGGCAGGTGAATGGTTTAGATGACATCCAGGACCGCTCCACGCTGGCGGAGAAGCTGGGAGGAAATGTGGTGGTTTCCCTGGAAGGCAGACCTTTGTAAACTGAGAGACACGTGCCATTAGGATCTCCAGCTTCCATCTTATCAGCACTTTTAATATAATTTTATCCAGTTGGAATCTTTTTTTTCCCTTTTTAATTTTTTTTCTGCATGAAGGACCTCTCACAAACTAATACAAAGCCCTACCAGAGATGCCCGTTCTGTATTTCCTAATCCTGGTAGATCACAGAGCTGAATCCCAAAGCATGCTTTCAAGACTAACGCCGTCCCAGAACGAAGCGAGGAAAATGCCCTCCATCGCGGAGAAGGCCGAGGGGTCCGGCGGAACAGAAAAGGCGCCACACGCGTTTGTGCCACACGCTCGCTGAGGCTGTTTTTGCCAAGAGGATAAGAATGGGAGGAATGAGCTTGCTGGAACGCTTCGACTGTCATGACTGCCTACCACCAAGGAGTCTGCCATGGTTGAGCTCTGAGTCTCCTTGGGCTGAGTCTCCTTGGGGTCTGTTAGTTTGACTTCTTTATCCCTGGTGTTTCAGCACCGCAAGACATGACCAGCTATGCAGATGAAGTCCTTTTTGTAAGAAAGCCCTTTTTTTAAATTTAGACCAGACAGGTAAAAAAGAACAGTACTTGTTGAGTTTATGTATTCAGGTATCATAACAGACTAGTTCTTCGTTCATGCTTGTGGAAAAGAGAATTCTTTTGGTTACCTCTGAAGTGTACGCTCGAGAATAAAACCAGTATGAGTGTTTGTTGGAAGAGTTCGGCCTTTGTTGCGAACAGGGAACCCTGACAGAAAAACACATTGTCGAGATTGCAATAATTGTCCAGATAGATCTTCTTCAGGAGTGACAATGTTTCTTTGATTAGCAAAGTCATCATGTTGCAATAAAATTTGTGAGAATTATGACACATTTTGTTGAATTGAACTGGATCGCTACAACATTAACAATTCACTTACACAAGGTAGGTCAAACCCAGGCGGTGTTTAGCGAAACGGCTTTTGGTAAGACGCTTAGCAGCACTAAAACCTCCTTGTGACACATTTCTAAGTATGCAAGCAAGAATAAAGGAATTTGGGATTATAAGCTTTTTGGATGAATCATTAGCTATGGGTCACCTGATCATAGATAATACGTTCATAAAAAATTGAATTCTCTAGACTTTTACCTCGTAGACTAATGAAAGTAATTAGGCATCAGTAGTAGTGTCAATGTGTGTGAATGGAGTGCGTGTGTGCCCTGCGATGGGTTGGCACCCCATCCTGGGTTAGTCTCTGCCTTGTGCCCCATAGCATCCAGACCCTTGGCCATAGACCCTTGGCCATGCATAGGACAATCAGGTGTAGAAAATGGATGTTAACTGTTAAAAATGGCCACAGTCACCTATCAATAAAAATACTTTCACTTGGTTGACAGCAGAGGTCTGCATTCCTGCGGCCCTGGAATGCGGCATTTTTGAATGCAGGAGTGGGTGGGAAGTAACTGATGATGAAATAACTCGCAGGGTCCCACAGAATGAATTAAAATAAGCATTGTTCAAATATATATTTTGTTATTTTATCAAACTTATTGAAGTTCGTGAGTGAACAGAAAGTTACTTTAAAATTTTCACTGAATGAAAGAAAATAGGCTACTATGCCGAATTTGGTTTCTATGCAGCCAGCCTGTCCTGGACGTTCTGCAATGACGTTAGCATTTTGAAAGTCCTTCGTCACTCTTGTGAGCACCACATTAATGACGGCAGAGCACGAAAATCTTTAACGTCTGACGATGTAAGTGCCGGCATAAGCAAAGGTGAATATCATTGTCAAATTAAGTAAGGGAAAGCAGATATTTGGCATTTTTTTCCCATGGTAAGAGACCAGAACAACTTGCCTTTTGCTCGTTTTGACAAATTCAGCAAAGTGCTGTAATACACCGGGAACAAGTCTAGCACTTAAGGGCCCTGTGTGTTCGGTTCCGGGAGGCCAGATTACACTGACATTCACTGCAAATGCAAGCAAATCAAAAAAAGTGACAAGTGGAATGAAAGATAAAACCACAACAAATGTGTGGATTTTATTACTGCAAACACTGGCGGTAAAACATGCCCATGTGTGACTAGCCTACTGTGTGTGAATCATGGCCTCTTTTCACTGTTAAACACTGAATTTAACCCATTTGTTGAGGCTACAGGTTTATTCCTAACCTGAAAATAAGCATAATGAAATAAAATGTATTTCTCCTTAGATTTGGACAAAATGTGACAAAGTTCTGCAGGAGTGGAACAGAATCTTATGGCTGTGGGCGGGATTTAAAATTCTGTCTTGTGCAGACCTCTACTTATTGATCAAATTCGGGGATAACAGTGACTGCCGGGCCACACCTGTTTATGGAGCGCACACATTCAGAGGGGTCTTCCATCCAGAGCGGTGCGGAGCCGTTGTAAAAATCACTGCTGTGGAATGACTGAACCTGGGTGGAGTCCAGGTCCGGCCGGCCGGCCTCCCATGTGGGGAATGTGATCCGGGGCTGCGGAGTAGCGCTCATCAGCCCGTACTATTTATGGCAAACGCATGCTTTTGTGTCTTGTCATTCTCATCCACAGATGGCCTAACGAGAAGTGCTTATAGCACTCGGCGAGCGGGGAACGCCGTGCGGGAGGGCTTAAGGCTGACCCCAGCTGCGTGTGTGTGAAAGTTTGAACGTTCTCTTCCATGTCACATGAATGTCCTTCATTCCAGAGCCGCACGGCTATGCAAACTGGCATCGCCATCTCGCCCGTGATGTGTGACTGAGGGCTCAGCGCTAGGGCACGCCGTCCTTGATGGTATGTGGGATGGCAGCGACTCGCCTGTCACACCAAACCCAGTGAGCCAGCCCCGCAGTGCAGTAAGGACTGAGCGATGCAAATCATAACAGTAGAGTTTAGTTATAAACATGCTGTATAAACAACCCTGCAAGGCACCCAAAAGGAAAAACCCAAAAGTGGAAAGACTGACATATCTAGCAAGTCTTCAAAGAAACTAGCAAACGGGTGAAGAATGTTTTGCCTGACGGGGTAAAAAAAACACTAGCCGGCATGTGTTACATAGCAGAGTGTCTTACATCACCGTTACCTCTCTGATTACAGTACTTCAAAATCACCTTATAATTAACACGTTCACAAAATCCACTCGTGACAGATCAGAACTGCGCTCCGTACCATGTTTTCTCAGCAAAAGACTTCAAATGATGCCACTATCAATCAAAATCAATCAGTTACAGGTAACCCCACAGGACAGAATTTATTTAAAAGAAAATGCAAGTTAGTTATTCATTAGTGCCTTTTATATCGAATCATAAGTTATCACGTGTCTCTGTAACATTAACATCTCCGTATTTACAGTATTGCTCGAGTTGACAGAAGCTACAGTCATTTGGGAAAGGGGGGGGGGGGGGGGGGGAGTTAGGGGCTGTGCGGGCACACCAAGACAGCCACACCTTTAGGGGGCGCTGTCTGTGCTCGGCAGCAAATTCTGGCACTTACAGGCGATATAAGGATAAGGGGGAAGGGGGACTTCATTCCCCAGTCGCTGTAAGAGCACCAGTCAGCCACCCATTTCATGCGTCTACATCATAGGTGGTAAAAAACCAGCTTGGAATAATGCTCCCCCTGTAGTCAGAAATCCAGAAGCACATGGCTCTGGCAGTCCATCGGTTCCCCCTGCCCGCTCCTCTGAAGTCATGGAAACACGTATGAAGGAGGATTTTCGGGGGGGGGGGGCATATTGTGCTGGGCCATCCAACCTCTTTGCCAAATTAAGGAACGCAAGGGTGGGGCGGGGGGTGGGTGAGGAACATCATACAGAAGAGTGGCTCAGCTGTGCAACCCATCACATTTAGTTGTGACACACCCCCTCCTAGCGGCGGAAGAACTTGAGGTAGACGACAGCTCCCAGGATGGCCAGCTCCATGAGAATGATGACTGACAGAAGGAGCTTATTAGTCATGAGCCTGTAGGGGGCAGTAAAAGGAGAGGCGGCATGTCAGAATAAGGAAAGCTGGGGGGTGAAGAACCATCTTACAGAAGCGTAGTGCTACGACGGCCACAGGCGATAGCCAAATGCTACAATGGCTTTGGGAAACTGAATCAAAGGGCTAATCTATCCCATAATTCTGTCCTTAAGGGACACATGAGACATATGAAGACGATGAAATACAGGAATTAAGTGCAGTACTTTTCTTAACAGTATAAAAAAATGGCGGAAAGATGAGGGTGCTGAGAGGACAGCCTGCAGCTGAGAGGACAGCCTGCAGCTGAGAGGGTCACTCACCGCCGAGACATGGAACGCAGAATCTTGCGACTGCGACTCAGGTTCTCCCCCGTGTGAATGAGCTGTGTGACAGGGGACAGTCGGTTATGATGATGTCACGCGTCTCCCTAACCTCCCCCTCACATGCTAACCCACTGACCCGGTCACGGGTCCGGTCCAGCTGCTCTCTCTGCTCCCCCAGCTCCTCGATGATGTCGTTGCCAATATTCTCTGTCTCCACGGCGATCCGCTGGCTGCGCTCGATGCTCTGCGTGGCGCGGTGCAAGGACTCCGTACCCTGGAGGAGCAGCGCACGATGGGACTGTGCCTGGGTCTATCACACAGAGACAAGCTGAATCAGGACAAGCAAAGACACACGGTTATTTTCCCAGTGCTTAGCTGATGGCCAATGGTGTGTGTATCAGGGCTCAGCAATACATAAAACATCACAGGTTAACAGGGTTGCCAACTTTGGTCAGTGGGCTGGAGTGAGATTTTCAATTCGAGACAAGTCTGCACACATATTTGTATGTATGTAACGGTTTTATTACAATATAAATAGTCTGTATGGTAAAGAGCTGGCAACCCTTGGTTAAGTTTTGGAGTAGCTGGACACCAGGGGCCTGTACTACGAAGTGGGATTACTGGCTTATCGGGGTAACTTGTCGGATTTAAGGTAGTCTGGGCGAAATGTAAGTGAATGAATATGAAGTCCATTTAAACTGTGGTACCTTAAATCCGACAAGTTACCCGATAAGCCAGCAACCCCGGTTCGTAGTACAGGCCACAGATTTCACAAAAGTTGAATCTCCAAAAAGGATGAAGTTCAATTTAAGTACATTGGAATAGGCTCCCTTATGAAGATTTAAATAAGCATATTTTGGTCACAAGTTCCTCAATCACTGGAAAAATGAAAAGGCCATTGTGGCGCGGCTTCGGCCGCAGTTTGTGGGAAGGCCGCGGAGAGGAATCCGGCACTGGCACTCACACTCTGCTCATTCTGCGAGGCATAGATGCCATAGCTGCCGTGGCCGCTCTCCCCTGGCCGCCCGGAGAAGCCCAGGGACGGCTCGCAGCTTTTCATGTCGCGCTGTAGCTTGCCCAGGTCCCTGCGATACAGGCGCAGCTTCGCCGACATCGAGTTGCGAAAGGAGGAGGGCGCTACACGCAGCTCCTTATCCATACCCTGCAGCTGCAGTCACAAGGCAGGCATATTAGGACCGACCCTTACAATAACAACAGTGTAGAGGACTGAAATCGAATATGTACAAATTTTAATATACCATTTCCTCTGCTTCTCCCACTTTTTCATCAAAGTCTCTGACCAACCTCTTCCTTTCCTCTGAAACAAAACGTAAATAACGTATGACAGTATTTAGGGGTTCAAGCAACAACTGCGCTGGATCCCTACTGTTTTTTTTTTTAACAGTTTTAACTAGGAGTCGAGCATTTTATTACCGCGTCCAGAGAGGATAAAACCTCCTTTATTTTACAGACTGAAGTAAAACCTAATTTCAAGTAGGTAACCTGCGCAGTAACAACGTTTATACCAGAACAAAAACTAATCATTGCATTAATTAGTTGTCGATCTACAACAGCTACAAAAGAAACAGTTTCAGGTGACAATAAAATCGGGAGATCCGAAGCAGCGTCACGTATACAAATGTTAAACTTATTAAACTTATGCTGATGATACTGAAACTGTCTAGGAAGAAGCGACAAGGGCTCGCAATCCCAAAGCAGTTTTTGGCAATCATGCAATGATTACGACGATAATTGACCAAGGTGCCATCATTATAACCGCAAATAGCCAATTCACATGGCATGTTTACATCTCCGCCACATACTTCATTTCTATAATAAGATGAGATGGTACCTCCGTGACATCGCGCAGCTCTGTCCGGCATCAACTTCAGCTCATCATAAAGACTTTTATAGATTTCGTGCAATTTTTCAAACTCCTCCGATGACATTTTACAGTGTTTTATATCTGGCTTGCTGAATGGATGTTTTTTCAAACAAGAAATATTTCCCGATACGCATTTATTGCAGTTGGCCCCGCATTAGAGACCAGAGGAAATACCACAAACTCCAACTTCCGCATTACTACCGAGAGGTCCTTCGCCTGAACTGCTGCCCGATGCTATCCATTAATGTATCATATTTTTTTCTCGAAATAAACGGATTAAAAAACTTTATGATGAGCACATTTGGTAATTAACATATTATGTAATAATACTTATTTCTGTATTCTGTCATACGATTGCCTAATGTACTATTTACATTCAGGCAGCGCTGTTGTTGCCTCAGGTACAAATGTATGCGGTGTGTAGTCTGCTAGTACACCGCTGCCCACCTAATTTAACGATGAATTTTAAATGACAACTTTAAATATTCAAATCGATATAATTATCGACAACAATTGTGAAAACATTTCTGGTCATATATTTATCTAGTCGTCTTTAGCTAAACGAATTTGCATTTGCAGTGCGTCAAATAATGCTTAATTATCGTGTGATCCGAATCACGAATAATTGGAACGACAAAAAAAAAAAAAAGAGGCGGCATGTGCCCAGTAGCTAGCGGCGTAGCCTGAAGCATCCACTACATCACTTGCATGTCACCGCATCCGGGCACACTGGCGTCGTCTCCAGGTGGCGTCTCTAAATTGCCAGCATTATAAGACGGTATCCACTGCAGTGTGTGCCCAGCGTTATCACTTTTGTTTGCGCCGTGACGCTGGATTAGACAAGTGGTTGTGGAGTATTGCTGGATCTGTATAAGCAATATTAATGGGTATTAATTCAAAAATTAATATTAATGAAATGCACGAAACCAGAGGTCAGAGTAATGTGTAAAGCAATAAGCAGTTTTGATGCAGGAACTGGTTCATTACTAAAGATGCATGTAGGACATGTCCTCTACCATATGACATAAGGTTTGTTGGTGTGTTTATGACTAGACAATGTTCGGACCCAGAAGACAACCAGGAAAAAGTCACAACCACACCACTGGTAGCAATATTTTTTATTTATTTTACCATTTTCATTAAATCAGCTGGAGAAAATACCTTTTGTTCTGTATAATAAAATATGTTACTTTTTTTTCAGAAGAAAAAAGTACACTCCCCTTTTTTTGTAAACTTGAAGAGTGATGGGAGAAGTGGGGGGGGGGGGGGTAGGGAGCAGAGATAAGGTGGAACACGTACAAAAACCCAAAAACGTGCTCAGTGGGCTGGGGATGTTGGCTTGTCACGGTGCAGGATTATTATGGCCTGGCAGTGGCGGGGGCGCGGCGAGCTTGAGTCGGCAGGCATGGTGTGCAGGAGGAGTTCAGAGGTCGCTCTCCCCGTACAGGGCAGTGGAGAAGGACATGTAGTCAAGAGCGCCGGGTACAGCATCGCGCCCGGTGTAGGGTGCCATGCGGGCAATGCAGTACTCTGCCTGGTCTGGCGGCAGCTCCCTGCGCAGCTCGTCCGCCAGGATGTAGTTCTGTGGAACATAAGATGATAAGCATTCTGACAGTCTGGGAGTAAATTAAAGGCAGCTTGTGTAATTTGTAGGTCTCCTCCTGTCAACATCTTGGTAGTAATTTTGTCTGTAGCTGATGTTTCCACAAGTTAAATCCCTCATTTTCCATCAACTTTCATGGCTTCACTGAGCAAACTCATGTGTGTATCTTAGACTATTATAACTCCTCTGTTGTTTAAAACATTTCCTCTGTCAATTATTAGTCTACTTTTTGACTATTTCACTACAAAATTTGAATTCACAATAATCCCCTAACAATGTCTCACACTAGCTAAGTACTCAGATGGTCTGAATAATTGTATAATTATGGAATAATAATAAAATATTTGTTATAAAATCATCATTGCACTGAAATGTATTGTGCTAATGAGGGTATCAGCACGGCGTGTTCTCGCTTGCAGATTGGCGACCAATGTGCAAACTGAAAACTCCAGAATCCATGGAAACGGAAGTTTTAGATATGGAAAGAGTGACTGAATGACTGAAGTATGTTGAGATGCAGAAGAACAGACATCTTAAGAGGAGTTTTTAACCGTGAGACACCTGTTTTCCTCTGAAACAGTGACTAATCCTTAATCCTTATCTAAAGACACTTTCCAGACTACATACCAGCTCGCTAAAATAATCTTTTAGAATGTCCCTGCTAGCCTCCTCAGAGTAAAACATCAGAAGATGAATGGACAGATAAGTTTCTTATTGGAAGATACTTTCACTGCGCAACTGATTCTTGTTATTGGTGTTCAATGATGAAAGCACTCTTACATCCACCTCCAGCTTCTTTCAACATGTGCATGTCATCATAGCTAAGATACCTTTAATGGTAATTTCCATGGCAGCAGTAAAGGATGACTCCCAGATCTAGCCCTACCGCTCTCCTTTAGTTTTATCCATCTGGCTAAAGCCTTTCTCCATCCACCCGTGACACCCTGCGGGCATCATTACCTACCTTGTCACCTGCCAGCACCTTGAAGGAAGCCATGACCTGATCTGCCGTATCTGTGTCGGCGGCTTCCCGGGACATGAAATCGATGAACGCCTGGAAAGTGACGACGCCAAGCCGGTTTGGGTCCACGATGCTCATGATGCGTGCGAACTCCGCCTCGCTCTGTGAGGGACACGAGCGAGAGAGATTCCGCTTGTGGGGATCACGTATGCTCTTAATACGTGAAAACCTATATCTCCGTGCATTTAGGGACAGATTTAGCAGCTAAAAACAATGACACAATCTACTCAGCATGACTGCTCTTCATTTTATTCAAAGACGTTCCGTGTTACACAATGCCGAATGACTTGTATTTAAAGGTTAATGGAATGAGCTGAGAATGAGCTGGGCAGATCTCCGTCACGGCATCTCGGTGGTTTGGTGAAACGTTTGCTTGTCGACTGGTGTATTACTCAGAAAGCTTAGATAAACTCTGCCCATGGAGTGACTGATCATTCACCCATCAAGAGGAGCCAGTGACATTAGGTGTCTCAGATTACTGAACTGCCTCTTTAAACAAAACAAACCGCCTTGTCATCCCCATGGAATAATGTGACGAAGTGGGTGCTTTCACAGCCCTGTCATCAAGTCCACTTTTGTTAGTGAGTTTGTTACTCTGTCTTCACATTATCGACACTCACAGACAGAACGCTCACTATAATGTGATTTTGTAAGCTCTTATTGTACTTACAGATTGGCCATTTACACTGAACTGTTAAAAGAAACAATAAACCTTCGCATAGTGCACAGTAATGGAGCTAAAGATATTGAACAGTATCAAAACAAAAAAATAAATCTGAACCAAGACAGTCAATTAAACTGTCCACCGTATGGATAAAGAAAGATTTATGCAGATCGATAACATCAGTTTAACATAATCAACCGCCAAAGGGCCTCTCTCACCTGCTTTTAGGCCATTTAGGCCGGATAACAGAAATAACTTATTGTATGCTAAGAGATACAAGCTGACTGAGATGGATCAGTCAACCACCAGGGGGCATTCAGAACACGGCTTTACCAGGTTATAACCCATGGAGATAAGGCAGGTTTTGAAGTCATCAGCGTCCATCATTCCTGTTCTCTTCTAAGAGGGGGGGGGAGGGGATGAAGTATGGCAAACAATCCAAGATGGTAGCAAAAGAATAGGGAATAGATAAGGGATTTCAAAAGAATAGGGAATAGAGGAGAGATGAGGGATCTCAAAAGAATAGGGAATAGAGATGAGGGAGTACAAAATAATGGGGAATACAGGAGATGTGGGATTGATTTATTTTAGAGGTGTAATGGATTAAAGAGAACAGTAAGGAACAGGAAAGGGTCGTAGAGGGAAGTTTATATGCAATATTTACATAGTTTTCAGTGTAGAGAAGACAAAAACAGAAATATCAGTTTCAGGGAAATAAAACAGAAGAGAATGGGGGAGGGATTGAAAACAAAATAAAAAAAAAAAACAAGACAATGATTAAACGGGGCACCCAGCGAATGGGGCCACACATTTCTTGAATACCTGTGAGTCGTTGGCCATATCGAAGCCCAGGCTTATCAAGCAGGCCTTGAACTCCTCTGCGCCCAGCGTGCCCGAGTGGTCCTGGGGGCGTGGTCAGCGCATGCAGCCGCGTGTGGTGAGCATCAGGGGTGGGGCCAGGGGGCAGGGGCGGGGTTTTGGGTGTGACATGCAGGTTTATGCGCAGGAGACAGAGAAGAGAAGCAGAGTGAGAACACAGGTCGTGCACGGCTGTGAGGTCAGTCACGGGGGAGGGGGGCATTGCAGACATGACTCGGGCCCGTTCAGGTTGCTTTTACACTACTGAGTGGCACCAGGGCATGTGACAAACACGGAAGGTTCTAGCCCTTCTCTTTACCAGGATCCATCAGGGCTGTTGGGGTGTGATCGGGCAAACACTGCTATCAATCTAATTAAAAAGTGTTTTGCACAAATCTTATTATTTTCACTCTCTAGAATAGCAGTATCCACTAAATATTATAAAACAAGGTGACCGGCTGAAGCATGCACATCCCATCTGCTCTTCCAGCCATTTGTTCAGTGGAATCTAGAATCAAAATTATGTCCAAATTCTTGTAGTCTATAGTCCTTAATAGTATTTGTTTCTATAGCTGGCTAAATATTTTCTTAAATGAAAATCCAGTACTTTTAATCCCTATGCAATTTGGCCAGTTATGGTCCTTTAACCGCAGCTAATATTTGTATATCTAGGGGATGTTTGCTCATGTTCTCGTATTAAGGCCTCGTTCTTAGTTGGCATGACAGTGGAGGCACAGCATTGGAGGCATTTGGGTGAGGCAGGGCAGGCAGACAGGCACAGATTTCAGCGCTAAGGGCTTTTTAGATTCAGCTCTGACGAAAGGACAGTGGTACATGGAGCTGGCATTGGAGGTGAGTGTGGCAGACTCATTGTGTGAAGAACCAGCAGAGAAACGAATCTTCATGCATGCAGATCAGCCAGGCTAATTAGCAATACTGCACATTTCATATTAAGACAAAGGATTTTCTGTGGTATTCTTCACTACTTAAGATATCAATATCTTCGTGTCAGTCCTTCCTCATTAATATTACGATATTAACGATTCAAAGAACCTCTGATAAGTGCTTGTCTAATAATCATGGTTTTGAGCATATTAAGATATCTACTGTCCTATGGGTATCAACTCACAAAACATTACAATGTAATCTTAATGGACAGAAACTCCACAAAGCCTAAACCCACAAAAACGTGGAATTCATGTCTCTTAGGCGCCCTCTGAAGGAGAGACAGTGAATAACAAGAAATAAAGCATTTACTCACTAAAAACCTAATGAGACCAGAACTTGAAATGGGCTATCCTTATTTAGCAACTCCTCATTCATTTATAGGTTGCTTTCCCATCCAAAACCACCCCCTTGGACCAACCCGGTCAAAGTGGTTGAAAGAGGCCCGGAACTCGTTCATCTGCTCCTGGCTGATGCCCTTGGCGTCCCTGGTCAGGATCTGGTTCTCGATCTCGTTGATGGTGCGGGCGATGGTCGTCAGAAGCTGCTCCCAGCCCACACGAATGTGCTGAGGGGGAGGTGGACCGAGCAAGAGAGACAGGGGTGGGATAAGCATGAACACTTTTAGCGGAATTGCTGACTCACCAGATACATGATCAAGACCAGGGGTGGGCGATCTTATCCGCAAAGGGACGGTGTGCATGCAGGTTTTTGGGATAACCTTTAGGTCAGCTGTTCAAACCCCAGTTTAAGAACTCTTCTGCCACTCAGTCCTCTAATTAGTAATATAATTGAGGAGTTGCAGCGAAAACCCACATTTCTAGATATGCCCACCCTTGATCAAGACGATATCAGTTTCATAGTTTTCATATAAAGGGTTTAAGACTTGTTGTTCTGAAACAAGTTAAGCACAGCCCAACAGCTACAGTAAGACTGCCTTCCACAGGTGACCTCTGTTGTGCACTGACAGTGGCTGGTAACAGTCGTCATTCCAATGAGGGGACAGTTTGAAACTATGGGTGTGTCCGAAATCAAATGCTTGCTTACTATGATGTAGGCGAAGTAGAGTATGTGACGTGAGCATTATGTCACAATCCTCAATATGGATGAGACAGTCAACGGTACCCAGATGACATACTGCATTCTGCAAGATTCCTAACTGTACAACTGATGGGCACTACACTCTCCCACAAGGCCACTGGCAGGGGCTAAGGTCACGGTTCATGGTTAAGATGGAGGAGAAAGTGTCGTTTCTATATAAATTAGAAAATAATACTGAAGTAGAAAATAATACCCAATTACATAAGTTAATGTATTTTTTCGTTGATGGTTTATAATACTTCTTAACTGTCATGGGAGTCAAGCTACGTCACTGGAAAAACGGCAGGGTCATGCAATACGCACGATGGCGACCACAGTGTGTCCGAATGTAAGCATACTGTTATGCATGCTTACATACAGTATGTAGTACATTAACAGTCAAGTAGTATGCTTCTGATGAAATTCAGTACCTACTGTGTAAGTATGTGATTTCGGACCACCTGCTCTTCTGATTGGCTTCAATCACCGTGCCAAACGGCTGATGATAATCAGTACCACAGCAGCACACACGCTCTCAACCCTTAGCGAATCTTTCAGACTAATGCGTACAACTACTGAGAGCTTCTCAGCAGAGTGAGTGAATCAAACAGCAGCCAACGGGACTGGGCGTCTGATTGGACGATGCGGCCCTATGTACCTCCATGGTGTAGTTGGTGTGCTTGTTGTCGAAGATGAGCGCCTCCTGAATGAGCTGGTGGTCACCCTCCAACTGATCGATCTTCGGCTTGTAGTTGATGATGTTCTTCTCGTATTGGCGCAGCTGCGTCAGCTGGGTCTCCAGGGTCCCGTGCATTTCTATGGAGATGCGGCCGATTTCCTGCGTGGAGACACGGCGTGGGCGCTGAGCATGCTGGGAAGGCATGCCGCAGGGTTTCTGGGAGCACGGTGCGTACAAAATCTACTGCAACTGTCTCAGCACCATGAGTTTGTATTCCCTACTTTTTTCACAACGTGCAAAACACTGTGTGTAAAGTTAATGGTAACACTTTACTTAAAGCACTCATGTATAATGCACTATACATACCTTCATAATGCATTGTAATGGTCAGTATAAGCCAACATAGTGCATTATGAAAGTTTCTATAGTGCATTATAGATGAGAGATTCATAGAGCATTCATAACTCATAATAAACACGGCTATAATGTGTTATGCCTTTATATAAATAGTTATAGCCATGTTCATAAAACTTCATGAATGCATTATGACATCTATAATGCATTATGATGACTGCTTTTAAGAAAAGCGTTACTAAGTTAATAAATAGACTGGATGATGTATATGTAAAATGACAAAACAAATGTTATTTGCAACAGAAAATAAATTTTCTGCATTAAAATGCTGTAGGACAATCATTTTATATAATAACATAAAATTATTCACAATAATTCTAATTGTTTGTTAAGCTGAAACAGGAAGGTGATTAAGATGACTACATATGAAATAATAATTAAGATGACCATGTAAACCCCGAATTTTAAATAAGTCTTTGTTTTTTTGATTCTGGGACAGGATCGCCCATGGTGCCGGACTCACCTCCATCTTGGTCTGGATCCAGGGCCCGATGACATTAGCCTGCCCGGCGAATTGCTTGCGCAGGCGCTCGTTGTCCTGCTGCCGCGTGTGTTCCTCCACCAGGGCCTGGTCCCTCTGGGGCACCAGCTGCCGCACCTGTCCCGAGGAGGGCAGCACATGCGCTGAAGCCCGCGGGTCATGCTAATGGCAGTCGGCGCCGCAGCCTGGCCCACATGCGACATCACGGCCCTTAGCGGACAATGGCAGCGGCTCACGGTGCATAGTGACGGGATACAAACCGCCGCAGAGCTAGCAACCCCAAATGTAACATTACTTACAACTGCACATAACCACTTACATTTCACTGAAGGTTAAACTTTCACTGATAGGTAGACATGGAGGAAACATGTCCTGAAGATAAAAAAAACCTGTTTAGAAGCAGTAGAACGTGTTATTATCCGGGTGCAATGTGAAGCATTCTGCAGATCTAGGCACAAAAATATCTGTATCAGATTTGAACAGGCTGTTGACAGAGATGTCTAAAATAGTTATTTCAGTTCTCGGAGAGGATGTACTGATTTGAAGGATGGCTCTGTCTTCCTGGAACTGGGCTGAAATGAAGTTCAGATATGCAAAATGACATAATGGCAGACAACAGCCATTTTAAAAGTAGATTAGCTATTCTCTACAAGGATACTAGGTGCCAGGTCTAAGGAATAGTACTGACACAGCCTAAGTGTGCCGGTCTTTTCAGGTCTGATGTTGTTCCATTTAAACTCGTAAGTGAAAATTTCAAAGTTCCTAGTCAGAGATTTCAACTAGAATGCCCCCAAATTTGAAGGAACCCCAACCTCAGAATTCAACATGACTGCGCCATTCATCGACAGAAGTGAAAGCTTTATGTTCTTATGTTCTTTAGTTATACAGCCTACTGTTTATTAGCACTAATGTATCATTGGGGTCTCATTAAATCGGTGGTGCACACAGTACTGCCCAACCACTATCTCTGGACATGTTGCTACAGTAACTGTTATCAACTGGTATTGCTAACAATGACTAACAACAAACCTGGCTAGAACTGGTATTGCTAAATTGCTTTCCAACTTGTACTGGAATGTAGATATCTCGAATGTGACGTCATTCTCAGCTCTGACTTCTGACCTCCAAAGTAAATGGAACGTAGCATAAGGTACAGTACTGACAAAGCCTATCAGAGGGCCTGCCTATTCAGGTTTAAAGTGCAGCATTGCCACAGTATTTCAGAGGGCCTGCCTATTCAGGTTTAAAGTGCAATATTACCACAGTATGCCAGCAGGCCTGCCTATTCAGGTTTAAAGTGCAGTATTACCACAGTATGTCAGCGGGCCTGCCTATTCAGGGTTAAAGTTCAGTAATACCACAGTATGCCAGCAGGCCTGCCTATTCAGGTTTAAAGTTCAGTAATACCACAGTATGCCAGCGGGCCTGCCTATTCAGGTTTAAAGTTCAGTATTACCACAGTATGCCAGCGGGCCTACCTATTCAGGTTTAAAGTTCAGTAATACCACAGTATGCCAGCGGGCCTGCCTATTCAGGTTTAAAGTTCCGTAATACCACAGTATGCCAGCGGGCCTGCCTATTCAGGTTTAAAGTTCCGTAATACCACAGTATGCCAGCGGGCCTGTCTCTACAGGTCTATTGGTGCTTTTTCATTGGCACCAAGAACTGAGCTGTAGCCAAGCTGTACCACGAAGAGACGATTTTCCGTGGTAAATCATGTGAGCTGTACCCATGCTGATGTGGTCCTGCTTACTAGCAGGACTGAAAGTGTGACCAAACCAAGCTGGTTGTGTGTCACCACTATCTGACTGGTCGAAATGCAGAGAGATACTGGTAATCTGCATTGATGTGCATGGATTATCTGAAGGAAAAAAAACCGACATGTTCGAATATATTATTCATTATTAGTAGTACTGCACATTGCGATGTTATGATGCATTCCCGAAAACTTGGAACTTGAAAACTTCCAACCTGCCACTTTAAAAAGTACTATAGAACAGCTGAATGGAATGGATTCGTAATGCAAACTTACACAAGCGAATGCTAATTCCACTAGCGTTTGATGATAACATAAAATGGCAATTCTCAGATGATCTAGCGGAAATTAGCACACAGTAAATCATGACCAGTAAATAAGCATCTCTTTGGTTTTACATCAAACCTGGAAACAGCTTTACCAAGCCGACCCTTTTGCAGAGGACAAGCGAAGTGAGCAGGAACTGTGCTGTAACTAGTGTCTCTTTGTGATACGAGTCAGGTACGGCGTAGTTCCTGTATGCCGGTGGAAATGCACAATAAGGTATATTACTGCCACAGCCGGTCAGTGGCCTGTCCCCTCCTTGGGGGTCAGTGACTCGATTCCCAAGGCCCCCCGCTTACCTTCTCCCACTTGGCATTGATGGTCTGGGGGGTGATAGTGGTGTAGGGGTTGCTGCCAGCCATGTTGACGTGGTAGGTCTGGACGATCTTGGAGATCTCGTTGTGAATGCCAAGGATGGCCTGCCGCTCCTTGTCTGCTTCAGGCAGAGTGGCCTTGAACTGCTCATGAGCTGCCGTTAGACCCTAATCAAACACATGAGCTTGTGAAAAATCTGCACTGACGCACCACTACTCCCTGCCAGCACTGACACATCACTACTCACTGCTTACCACTGGTGCGTCAGCACAGACATACTACCACAGATGCGTAACCGCAGACACAGACACACTGCCACTGACGCGCCAGCGCGGACACACTGCCACCAATATGCCACTGAAGACACACTACTGCCGATGCACCAACGCAGATGCACTACAGTGTTTCCCCTACCATTATATTAGGGGTTGCCCCCCCGCCCCCCCCAACGGCACCTCCCGCCCCCCCTTGAAGGTCAAGTTAATTTGTTTTAATTTTATTTTCTATATAGCGCCAGATCACAACAGAAGTCATTTAAGGTTACCTTTCCTATAGAACAGGTCTATACATTGTCCTTTTATTAAACAAACTAAATAGCCTTATGTCATTTATCCTATTTACACAACAGCTTGTCATTTTTGTCTCTACACGGTCGCGACCTTTACAATCCTCCTCCGCTCTCTGTATCGCACACTCCTCCGCCCCGATGTGTGTGCACACTTGCGTACGCTCCCAGGGTGGTGAAAGCTGCACGCTTTGTGGATAATTGTCATAAAAATAAATGTTCTGATGTTTAGTTCAGTTGTTATATTGACTGCTGTCATTAAAAGAAACACATGAACACCATGAATCCTGCCGGTGTCCGTCTGCCCCCCCATACTGTAAACCTGGGGGAAACACTGCACTACCACTGACGTACCAATGCAGATACGCTGCTGCAGACACACTGCCACCGATACACCACCATACATGAAAACACTCACCACTGGCGGATGACGACTGACGGATTGGTTCAGTCTTATGACACCATGCACCCTTGAAAGTCTCCAGGGTGGAGAACATCTGCATCAGCGTCACACCGGCTCACCTGGATCTCCTCAATGGTGTGGACGATGAAGGTATCCTGCAGGTCCTCCATGGCGCCCTCCATCCAGTTGTTGAAGGGCGCCGCCCGTTTGGCGAACTCCAAGTAGAGCTGGTCGATCGTTTCCAGGAGCTTCTCAGTTCTCTGCCCGGCAAAGACAAATGGGAGGCATGAGCGCAAAGGCCGTGGACCTCTGGGATGTGCTGGTGGCCACGGTGACGCAGGGCTCCTCGGTTCCCCCCCCCCCACCTGAAGGGCCTCATTGCGCTTTTGGGTCAGGGCGCCCAGGGTGTCCCAAAGGTCACAGATGTGCTGACAGCGGGCGTTCACCCTGGGGGAGTCGTAGTAATCCAACTCGCTGCAGTACACAAAGAGTGCAGGGTAAGCGGACCGGTGCAGGAGGGATTTTTATATAAAAATACCACATGTGGAGGCAGTTAAAGGAGATCAGTGTGGTAAGTCGCTCCCCTTGTAAAACTTTCACCCCTCTTCCCCCTCCCTCACTTGACTGTGTACTCCATGCCTCTAAGCCATTTCCTCCCTCCTCCTCTCTCACTTGAGCTCTTGTGCGATGGCGGCAATCTGCTCCACCCGGTCTTGATGGGCGGCCAGGTCACTCTCGAAGGCCTCGTGCTTCTTCAGCAGGGCCTTGATCTCTGACAGGGAAGCGGTCTCGAAATCCTTCTGCTGCAGCATGTCCTCCTTACCTGCAGGGGGCGCAAGTGCGGCCCGGCCAAATCAACAAATTCCAGCTGATATATCTAAAGAAGCTTTAATGTCGCCAACAATTTAAAACAAAACAACTTATTGAAAACATCACACGAGGCACCGAACTACAACAACGTTACCTGTAGTCCAGCCCTCATGAATAGTAGCTTTCTGCCGAAACTTCCCTGCCAGGTGGTCGAGTCTCTCCAGCCTGCGGATCTCGTTGAGCAGCCACTCTTCGTAGCCTTTCTCTGCTCCCTCCAGGCCACTCCAGGCGTTGGAGATGTCCTGAAACCCACAGAATCGGAACAAAAAGCTATTTCTGCCATCTGTAATCTCCTTGTACATTTTACACACATACATATTCATATCCAGATATATGTATGTATGACGATCAACCCGATCAAAATATTTCATCACATTTGCTCTAGGCAGTCTGCCCCTGCTTTCTCAGAGGTATGTCGCTTTGAGTGAAAGCATTTGCTAAAGAAATAAAATGTAAAAGTAAATCACACAGATGAAGACAGACATTACCAGACATCACAAAAGCAGTTATAGATTGGTGCAAGTCTTGAAGCAACCCTCCTAAATTGTAGGCACTCTCTTAATGTCACAACACACTGCAAAGAACAGAGCAGTGATACTTTATTCATCACAGTGGGGAGATTGTGTTTTCAGCGATCCCATCTCGCTCTCGTACAGGTTTTTGGGTCAAAGCTCACGGTCAGCCAGCATCCAGCACCCTGGCATCACTCTGATATCCACAGGGTTTGGATCTTAACCCGCTGAGCGACAGGCCACCCCAAGGAAGGTATGATCTTCTGTTTACACAGCAGGCACCTTGCCCCTTAGGTCATTATTGGTTAATAGGAGTCCTGCTTGGACTTACATAAGGCTCCACAAAATGTTGTACTTTGAAACCATGCAGTGGTGGCTTAATGGTTAGGGAAGCGCACTTGTAATTGAAAGATTGCTGGTTCGAATCACCGACCAGCAAGGCACCACTGAGGAACCCTGAGCGAGGTACCGCCCCCAAGCACTGCTCCCCGGGCGCTGAATTAACTGCCCCCCTGCTATGTCACGATGTCACACGTGGTTTAAATGCAGAGGACACAGTTCGCCGTTGTGTGCTGTGGTGTGTCAACACTGGTCACCAAACAGATAAATTAAAAGAAGCTTAACAGCTAGATAAACTCATTTTCCGAAAATGCTGTGCTGCCGAGGAAGATGGGGCCGACGGCGAGGGCCGGGAGGGTCGTACCGAGACCATCTTGCCTTCGGAGGGCATGAAGGCGGGCCGGTTGCTGAGCCTCAGCTTGGTCTGCAGGGTGTTGAAGTTGATCTCCAGCTGACACTTCTCCTGCACCTTGGGCGGCTTGTGCATGCGCCGGTAGTCACGGAAGTCCTCCAGCTTCTGCTGCATGGCCGCCATAGTGTTCTCCGTGGCGCGGTTCTCCAACCAGGGGATGGTGCGGCGGATCCACTCCAGCAGCTTGGCGGCGGAGAGCCGCATGGAGACGGTCCAGGGGGAAGGTCGACGCCGAGGGTAGCAGGAGAGGGAAAACAGAATAGGCAAGAGGGAGAGGAAGCGGCGGGCAGGGTTAGGAAATGAGAAGCAGATGTTCACATTGTGCATCACTGCTACCTGACGTATTGGAACAAAACTTAATCCTTAATCTCTCTTACTAGAATCATGGTTCTACACTAGTCAGACTACCCTACCTTTATATCCCCTGTCTTGGCAAACCTAGACCTCGGTAAATATCGTGTCCTTAATGTTTCAAACATATCCCATGGGAATGCGGAGGCTCCGAGCGGGAGGTGCTGGTGCTGGCAGAGAGTCACTTACGTCGCTGGCCAGCCGCTCGTAGTCCTCCATCAGCTTCTCGTTATCCTGGTTTACCGCCAGGACCTTGCAGATGCGATTGGCTGCCGTTTCCGCCTGGGTGACGGAGAGAACGCCCAAGCGGCAGGTAAATACCCGGCCGTCAGTTCACACACGACTCTGTGTGGGGACTCGTTAGCTATCTGCTCCAGTATGGGGACTGACGTGCATCTGAAGATCAGGGGCTGGGTCCCCAAGCCTGTCTTTAATCAGGGTTTTCATTGAATGACTGTTATTCCATTTGCTTAGAAAAATTGCCACCTGATATACTGTATGTTATATGGACCTTTTATCCACATTATTTTGGTTTGCAGAAATAGCTTAAAAGAAAATTCCTCAAGACAGATGAGGAACTGACTTTTCATTATTTTTTCATCTACAGTTGCTGTTGACTACCAAGTGGCTTAGTGTGGAAGTAAATTTTAGTACTAATTTACAAGTATTATGCATTAAAATACTAAACTAAAAATTCATCATGTTTTGGGGTATATGCATGGCTTATGGCTTATTAATTTTGTCTTGTCATGTACGGTAATGTCAGTTAATGTTTCTAACATCAAAATGTTTCATTAAAATAACGTAAAAATGCATATGTGATGGAGTATTGTAACATATGCATACATGAACGTTTACTGTGAAAAGAAAGGGAACAAGATTTGTGGGATTGACCCCCAGCTGCAGAAAAATAAGCAGATTGAAGCTTACAGCGCAGAGAGGGGGTGCAGTGGAACAGCTGGAAAGCTCCGGAACATGCACGGAAGGAATCGCAACAGACACAGGATGCACCCGTGACAAGCGTTGGTGGGTGCAAAATCAAGGTCAGGCGCTGTGAAGCTCACAGCAACCTTATAAGGATCGCTACGGCGACCTGACGGCGAATCACGGCTGGAGTCGTCTGCTGTCGGCTCAGGCAGCCCTTTAAAGGTACTTGAATCATCTAAACGCGGTTACTCCGCCGGAAACAGGACACTGCATTGGAAACGTAACGTGGCCCCGATTCGAGGCTCACCCCACGCCGCCCCCTCTTGCTCAAACCTCACTCAAGACCCCTTGCTGTGCGGAGGCGAATCTGTTTATTTCTTCGTTCAGTCCCCCTCCCCCAAATCCAGTGCTTTGCTGGAGATAGCGGCCATCTCACTACTCGCGTTCTTTCCTCCCACACAGCGCCATCCCACGCCGGCGAGCTGCACACCTCCGCCTCAGCAAAATCACTCGCTTACTCCATCCATCCAGAAGCCGTCCGCGCAGCTCTCTCACAGTCCCTCAGCACGCTGATAAGGGTGAGGAATTTTATCACACCACCCAACAGGGGGGCAGGGGGGGGGTTAAATTACACAGTGAGAGAAAAACGCCTCTCCTTTTTTTTTTTTTAAACTTTAATTTGAAATGTTGAATCGCTTCATATAATTCTACATTAACACGCTCCTTTTAGGTTACGCACTTTCTGTGGGCCTGCAAGAGGTCGGCAAACTTTCAGCAAGAAAAACAAACAGCGACGTGGGAGGGCATGCTCTGGGTGGGGGGGGGGGGGGGGGGTGTCAGGGGGGCAGATAGGAGCTCACCTTCTGCTTTCCTGAGAACGCGTGGTAGTAACACGACACATAAGTCATGACGGCCTTCTCATCTGGCCTCAAGGTGCTAACGATGTCTGCCCGAGGGGGGGTGGGGGTGGGGGACAGACACAGACAGACAGAGAGAAACACGCAGAGCAGAGGTGAGAAGAAACCAATGGCCAGCAGGTGGCGCTGATGCTGGGGAGCGGGCAGTGAGCACAAGCAGATTCCAGTGTCTGGGGAGGAGAACCAGCAGTCCAGATCCAGAGGAGACAGACCTCCAGAGACACCAATGACTAAGGCGTCAGCGTGACAATTTTCATGACTAATGGACAAGCAGAACCTCTTCTGGACCTTACGGAACCACAGACGCACTCCAGGCTCTCTGCTAACCTCCAAGTTTTCCCATAATAAGGCAGATCTTTGGCTGAGCAGTCACGGTTCAGATACTCCAGCTGTATCCTGGGGCAACAAATTACACATAAATTGCCCCCAAAAAAACCAAACAGCAGCAGAGGAATTAAACTCCTAGCTGAAAGTCTATAAAAGATCCTGGAACAATCCTTCAGCACGGAAAAAACAAACTAACACCAATCTATAACTGCGCTCCATTAAAACCAGGTTCCTGACGTTATGAACTGCAGTGACTCCTTAACGACTCAGTCACTACGGTCTGACTTTCCCTTGATATTAACACACAGTAGTGTTAACGAGCTCTTGTGACAATGACTCCCTAGCAACCCTAACAGATGCCATGACACAGACAGCAACCAGTGACGATCGCACTGAGCCAAGAGCACATGGGGAGACCATGGTGAAATTTAACGTGGCGGCACAAATCTTTCTCTCCAAAGTGCTATGCTGAGCTGCTGCCACTTCGGGGCCAGAACCTTTTCCCACAGCAAATTCTCACGGCGTCAAAAAAGCATTAGTGCGAGAGGCGTGCTTAGTAAATCACACACACGCTCATTCCATTATGGCCGCCCACAAGCCCCGGCCTGCTTCTTCACAGAGCATCAATCATAAGGAGTGCACCGAAAATTAGATTATGTCAGACGCCAGAACCGGGGGGTGCTGGGATACGACACGGCTAGGGGGCCACGTGTGGCTGCACTGGAAGCCTGCTTGTGCCCCTTCCCATTCCTCCCCACCCCCCCCATCATGCAGCTGGCGGCAAGCGCCAAGAGGAAAAGGGAGAAGGGTGCCCCCTAGGGCCAGAGCTCTGCACTGCAGGGAGAGAACCACACTGTTAGGAAAGAAGAAGAGGGAGGTTGACTTCGAGAGTTGGGGGGGGGGGGGGGGGGGGGGGGGGGGGGGGGGGGGGGGGGGGGTGGGGTGGAGGATCGGTGGATCCTGGGATACCTTCTGGGCACCCGAGAAGGCGTGGTAGAAGCTAGAGACGTAGGTCATGATAGCCTTCTCATCCGGGCGGGCAGTACCCACAATGTCTGTGTGGAGAGAGGGGGTTCGGGGGAGGGGCAGATGGGTGCATTAAATATGAATGGAAACCCGAACCATCTATTCATTCACTCAGTCATTCAATCATCCGTCCGAGTTGGAAATACCAACCCGCCGGCCTTGATAATTAATGTATAAATCAGCATAAACCTTGCATCTGGTAAATGCTCTCTGGGTTATCCTAAGCGCCTGGGCCCAGGGGAACCGCCCTCTTGCCCACTGGGGTCTTCCAGCTGGCCTGAAGAGGTGATCCAGACCAAGCATCGTGACCCAGAACCCCCAGGCTCCACGGCCCTTACCCTCAGCGTCTAGCATCCGTGGAATGTCCAGGTACCGCTCGGCCACGTCGAAGGCTGTGTTCAGGTTGGTCATGGGGTCATCCTGTGGAGGGAGGGGAGGGGGGGATTTTATCACGGCGAGCGCTCTGCTGTGTAACACGCTCCGTGGGGGATGGGTAACGCCAGCACGCCAGATGGGCAGCACTGATCCGCACGCTCGTATGGACAGCGAGGTGTGACCGTGTGGGTGAGCTATTGTTACATATATGGCTAATTGTACAGCGCTGCCAAGCTTAACACCCAGTAAAACTGGGAAATAGAGGAAAAAGGTTACGGGGCACTCGTGTTGTGTAAACACGCGGCACGAGGCCCACACGCCACGGAGAGGCCGGGAGACACCCCTCCTAGTGTGTGGCCACTCGGCGATACTCACCTTGCGCAGTTTCGAGTAGTCAATCAGCTCTGGCCGGTGTCTATGGATCAGGGCGCAGAAGCCTAGGCCGTCTTTCCAGCTGGTGAGGCAGGGGGAGAGGAACGGGTGAAAAACGAGGGTGATAGGAGGACGTGGAACTTTGCAGACCCCACCAAATTCACCATGGTGCCCGCGGCGGATCCCATGCAGCTCCCACACGTGCCACAGAGAGCGCTGCCACTCTCCTTTGCCTGGCAGCTCGGTCCTTCCACGGGTCGCCTGGAGGAGACACCCGAGTGCAGGAAGGATCCGGACGGGGACCGTGCCAAGGGGGCGATGAGGTGATAAGGAGGGCTTTGTGCTCCCATGCCGGCCTCCCAGTTACCCCTGTCCCGCAGTTGGAAACCAGAGCCCGCAGACAGACCCACATCAAAAGGCAGGTCCCTAGGCACTCAGCCGACAGGAATCTCTGCCCCTTCCAGCGGGGCAGGTAAAAACAGGCGCCGCATTCCTGCCGCTCGAGACGGAACCTGCCCCTCCCGTCTGCCTGAGCTTCAGCGCCGAGAGATCGAACAACAAATGTGTCAGTGGGGCTGCATCCCATGCCCCAGGCCCCACAATCCACCGCCCCCCACCCACCTGCGGCCCGCGCTGCCGACGGGCGCCCCTCTCCCGCCGCCCTGCCGACGGGCGCCCCTCTCCCGCCGCCCTGCCGACGGGCGCCCCTCTCCCGCCGCCCTGCCGACGGACGCCCCTCTCCCGCCGCCCTGCTCTGCTGAATGAACCGCCTCTCCCATTCAGCTCGACTCACACTTCAGTCGTGCTGACTTAGGCCGGTGCAATCTTGGTGTAGTTTTAATATAATATACGGGAGGAACTCTCAACTCATCTGGTTTTGTAGAACAATTAGTCCTAAGAGATCCTGCCAATGTTTACATACAAATTCTTCTTAATACAGGCAGACACAATAAAACAGTCTGAAAAGTTTGTATATTTTTACAAACTATTTTGACTGAAATCCCAGTCTGTTGAAACTCCTCCTTTAATTGGATAAAATGTCGATGGGTTTCATCCATCCATACTGCTTATCCAGTACCAGGGATGGATAGATCAAGTCCAGAAAGTAAAAATCCAGGCCAAGAATTTGCTTCTACCAACCAGTTGAGTATAATGCGTCACAGCCACAGAGTATAGCTGGTTGGTTGGTTGGTTGAAACAAAATCTTGGTCTGGATTTTTACTTTCTGAACCTGAACTTTCTGCCTCGGTCCAGCACAGAGGCCTTCTCAGGAGGCACTGCAGCTCCCTGAACAGGATGCCGGTCCAGCTCTGGGCACACACTCACACAGCGGCGCGTTTCTGCACCGCGCGATGCGAAGCCACGCAAACAGGGAAGGGTTGGGTTCAAAGCCCCAGCCTCCCAGCTGTGTGAGCAGCCACCCCTCAGACCGACCTGATGTGGAAGTTCTGGATGTTGACGTTCTTGTAGGGGGCCGTCTTCCTCTGACACCACAACAGCAGGCCTTCCTTGGCTGAGGTCTCTGTGGGGGAAAGGTGAGGCCAAGTGAGGTGTGGGTCTTACATGCGGAAGCAATCCCAGAATTCCCGGCCACTCCGACAGGTCAATATCACGTTAGCGCTGGAGTTTTCCAAGCAAAGCGCTCTGATGCCGGGATCGCGACACACTAAAGGTTCCCCAGCTGCTTACGCCTCCCAGCTCATCCTCTCAGTTAGCCAGTCGTTGTTCGGTTTCTTTGGCGACCAGCGTACCTTCCACAGAGATGTCCTGGATGGCGAAGCGGAGGATTATGGTCCAGATCATTCCCAAAGTCATCTTTGCATTTCCATCCACAATTTCTGTAGAAACAAGAAACCACCATCGATTTCATCAATGCGAATATTTAGACTTGTTATTCATGTGAGCCAAAGAAAGGGACGTCCAATTCTGGCCTTTTAATGGACTAAGCAGTTCACCCTGTGTGTCCATCATCGCAGCACCTTTAATATGTCATTAGCTATCCTACTTCTACAGTGACAGATTTGTAGAACAGTGTTTGACAGCCCGATGGCAGATGAAAGGAAGGCGTGTTTAGACTACAGAGCTTTTGCCTTAATGTGGGGTTTAGGCTGTAATAACATTCCATAAAGAATGAAAGGAGTAAAACAGCGCTCTTTTCATCAGGGTAATGGGATGATTTTAGTCTGAACTTAAAACCAAATGGCCACATAAAAAGTCACTGACATAAAATAAACTTTCAGCAATATAAACATGACCAGTCAAATGCCCCACAAAACCTAAAAGATCGATGGAGGGTTCGACTCTGGGCAGTCAAGCTGTCAGCCCTGAGAGCAGGCAGCAGACAGGACAGCCCTGCCCTACATTTAACAGCCTACGGCGCGTCTGACAATAGGTCCATAGATCATGATCTTCTCTGGTTTTCCCTGTGGCCATGCGGTACCTCTTCGGTTTTTAATAGCAGGTCATGCCCGTCTCCCGTGGTTGAGACCTCGTGGGCTTGACTTGCCGTCATCACCACGCAAGCGTGACCATTCTGTTTGGTTTCACAGAGCACCAGTCAAAGGATGCAATTTGCCAATCTCGGCTTAATGTGGGGAGGAACTGGAGAGAGAAACCTCCAATAAACCCCAAACATCCATGCATCGTCTGGCCTTGTTGAATCAATAGGAGGTCTATATTACTACACAGGCACCCCAAAATGAATGAAAAATGTTGAAACATTCTAGAGATACTAAGTGCTTTGCATCTGAGTGTTATAATATTGTGGATTTATAAAATAATACATTTATTGCTGAGACATTTGAGCTACGTTAACATTACAAACTTTATTGCTCAATTCATATTTCTTGCTCAGATCAGATTTGCCCATCTTGACGGTTCACATTCATAACTGCAAATGATCTGTATCTAACTGACCTCCTCTGTCCTCCGGAACGGCATGCACGCACACATCGATACATTTTTGCACAAGCCACCTGCATCACCCACAACAAAGAAATGCTCAGCATATTTGAATAGGCAAAAAACGATACGAATTCCGACCTGATCGTTCCCATTCATGCTGCATGGCCGGGAATCGGATACGTATCTGATCTAGGACAATGCATGGAAGCGACTCAAACCTGATCTGAAAAAACTGAGTTTCTGCATCCACACAGCCCCAAAAACATCAAATCTGTCACATTACGGCAAAAAAACAGACTTGAGTCAGTTGAGTCACTGTCAGTCTGGTAATGTGAACATTGCCTTAGTGTCAGTGCAGGTTTAACGTTACGGGCTGTGAAAAAAAAAATTGGAAAAAAAACAACAGAGTACCAAGATGCCCCTATTTACCAAGTTCCTATGCTCTCTTATTGTCCGCTACATGTCTGCACACATCCTTGTGACCAGGTATGCAAACACCCAGCCAACTTTCCTTCGCTATACTGTAGTCCTTTGGTCTTGCATTTGTGCTGAACAGCTTCTCACCTATTTCCCCAATTCAAATACAAAGGGAGCTCAGACTTGACAACTGCTATTCAAAAGCCAGTAGCAAAAACTGCAACCTGACCGCCTTCCAACCAATCAAACTCAAAAAATGCCTCTGGCACCTCTTCACTGCGCTGCCTGTAAAATCCTAGACTTTTAACATGCAAATTGTTAAACCGCTGGCCACAAATGGCATTTTAAATGTAGTTACTCGCATATTTTACATGCATATTCCCATTAACGTTCATATGTCAGAATGCAGCAGCCCGCTGTAGCTATCTCTGCACCCATTATGTGCACTGTGTGAGCCGGGGGGGGGGGGACGGTGCAGCATGTCACCACCAGCACAGCTTCAGCTTCAGATTCCAGGTGTACATCTCGTATTCCCCGCTAAGCATAACTTGCGACTGCGTCTGGCCAGCCACGCCTACACAGAGCCATAAAAACCCAGCAAAATGAGGCGTCATTGATTATGTGACACGGATTACTGCCCAACAGCCGAAATCGAACTGACTCGTCCGCCCCCACATAGAGCAGCAACCCAATTAAAATCGAAAGCCTCGGCCTTCCGACCGCTCTGGCCGGGGCCCATGGGCGGACAACGCCGAAATCACCTTCAGCTCCGATGGACACCAGCTTCACTCCTTTTCTGGTGATGAAATTCAGAGCCTTGTTGACGTTGGAGATCTTGTGTACTCTCATCTTCCCCCTCTCTGGCTTGGCAAGCCTCTCCCCTAGGGGCAGAAAGAGAAAAACAATGGTGTTTATCACTGTCCACCGATGAGTTGCACTTGTAAACATCTACCAATACATCACACGTGATTGGTGCATCACTGACCCCTCCCTTTTTTTTGAGCCACCCAATCCAGTACTAAGTTGTTAAGGATTTTTTTTTATCACATCGCCACTGTTGGGTGTTCCAGAGACCCCAGATGCAGCCCCATCACCATAGAGACACCAGGGGGACCAGGGCACAGAGAACAGACCTGAGATGACCTCCAGCAGCAGCATCAGCTTCAGGCCATCCCGGAAATCCTCCTCGATGTTCTCGATCTGCGTGCCCGCCTTCCTCAGGTGGGAGTTGCACCAGGCGGTGAACGTCTATTGGGGGGGGATAAGGGGGACGGAGGTGAGGACACTCCTGGAAGAGCAGAGGCTCCACAAAGGGTGTGCCACTCGGCTTCCTTACACAGAGAGTTTCTATTCTAGAACCTGGTTGCCATGGAGTTCGTGTGAGGGGGAGACTGCGTTGGAGACGAGCTCGCCTGCGCTTTCGGCAGGCAGAACCGCATGCAGATCCCCGCATCCAGCACCAGCTCTGACATACGTACGCAGGCAGTGCGGGAACCACTGAAGTTCTGTGCACCCAAAACACTGAAGTTACCAGATAACCCCCTGCTCGCCTTGGGGCCTACCGCCATGGGGTGGATTACAAAGACGCTAGGATGAGCCTTTCGGTTCACAATGAACTTCTGGTCCTTCAGCAAGCAGATGAAAATCCCTATAAAGTCTTTCCACTGCACTGGAGTTATAAGCAGATCATTAAGGCTGAAACTTAGCTGAAGGTTCGTACAGTTTAGGGGGTAAAATGACTGCGTTCTAGATTAGCCCTGTACACGTGTTATAAATTTGAGGCATGTATTCAAAACATACAACCCAGGGTACTGAAAGTGAAAGTGTAGAAGATGAAGGACTGCGAGAGGGGCATCCGACAGCTACAAGAAGGCGTGGTATTTTCTGAAGATATTTTAAGCCAAATTATTATGTACTTATACTGTCCGTTTAACAAACAGAAAAACATTAAGCTAATGGCAATATTACAAAATAAATCACTCTGGCAAATCGCATGAAAGTCCATAATGCCTTTACCCCCCCCCCTCAGTGAGTCTGAGAGATTAAGGTGCACATTGAGATCAATCAGCCATCGCTCATATGCCTCTTGAGCTAGAACACGTATATGTAAGCCCATTCCAACAGGAGTCTCCTGGCACGCCCAGTGCATGCGTACGTACGTGTGTAAGGCAGCCTTAACGTTAGCATTACAACCGTGAACAGGCGCTAAGGAAAATAAGAATTCTCTGCCTAATGATTCCCTAATTATTACACTTTATATATTCTCTCAGTGAGCCACCCCTGTCCTTTTCATCTTATGATCGACAAACCATCATTACCATAACAAACAGAAAGCCTTCTAATTTATACTTTGTCATGGGTGCATGATTTTCTGCTTTAATAACCAGTTCTGTAACCAACAGTTCTGCTTTCTGTTACTTAACAAAAACATCCCCATTTCGACAGAGTTGCGATAGAGACCTAACTGTCAGTCTGATTAACTATAACCAGCAGCCGTCTGTGGTTAATGCCCGGCTGGTAAGGAATCATTGCCCGGCATCCCCTCTTTTCCAGTTCTACCTACACTGTGCTGATGCAGGAGTTTATTTCTGGGTGTTGGCCAGAAACCCGCTCGCGGTGCTCGGTCGGTGTCACCGGGCTCCGCCCACACCGCATGGTGCCTGAGCTGGCGTTTGGCTCGTGGTTTCAAAACATTTCCTACACCCAGCAGAAAGCACCTTTTGGTGAAGTTACACCACAATAACGCTAACGACAATCAGTGTGCTCACACGCACACACACGCTCACACACACGCACACGCTCACACGCACGCACGCACACACACAGCAGCTGGGGTTACCCACTCTGCCTGGCTTTAATATGGTTCCCGCTCATCTCGCTGCCCTTTGATCTGATTCAGGGTTTAATATTCAGCTCTACCACCAAAAAGGAAAGGCCGGGCATCAAAGGAGTGACCCCCCCCCCCCCCGCCGTAAACCCCCACCACATCCCATCCCTTCTCCCTTTCGGAAAATCTGACGCTCGTCAAGGGCCCTACTACCCGTCACCAACCGGGCAGCAGACTCCTGTCCATCGGAACCTTAAGATAGCACCTAATTGTGTGGTACACTCAACACCAAGATGTTCAGTTGGACGTTGGGATGTATGGGAGGAGGAAGGGGTGTATGGTACAAGCCTCCAATGTTAAGTCCCGTGGCGGAACATTATGATGTGACAGTGTGGCCATTTTGGGGTGTCACCCTAGCCTAGCGGGTGCTAATCTATTTGGTCGCATTAAAAAAAACACAAGCATGTTTTCACGTCAGTGACACGCAAGCTTCTGCGTGGTTCGGCTTGTTCGAATATGCTGGTGCACGCAAGTTGTGTGACAGCGTGCTGAGCTGCGTGAGTCTCTGTACAGATCTCTGTCTTGAGGCTTCCTGTGAGACCCGCTATGAAATACTCCCTGTTCTGAGAGGGAAAAAAAAAAAAAGACAGAATGCAGTCAAGGAGGTTGCCATAGTAACCGCAAAAGCTGAAAATTCATAAACGGAAGCGTCATGGCACAGCATCTGCCAAACTGCATGTCCTGCTCTCTCATAAGAAGTGTAGACGTGCACTGCTGGGTTTGAAATTATCGCCCTTTCCACCGAGGGAGGAGCATTTCCCATCTTACGCCTCGCTAACCCCAGTTACATTATCGCCACGGTGACAAACGGTCAGGATGTTCAGATCGTAAAGAAAGGACGTTCCCCTCATGCCACTCGTGTTTCTGCTTAAGTGCTGATAAATTCTGCATCCGTCGCATTTCTGGCATGTATCTTCATTGAGTGTGTAAAATGCTGAAGTAGCTAAGGGAAAAAAGAGACAGTAATTCTCTTAATCTTGACGGAAACAGTCGAATAAGAAGTGAAGAAAGAGATGAAGGTGAAGATGATATACAATTATTTCAGGCAAGCGGTCACGATGCTGCGATGTTGCATTGTTCAGATAAAATGCGACATCCACAGCTTAGGGTGCTTCTGCAGCTAGTCCATCAGAGCATTGGTACAAATCCTACAGTAGATTCCCAAGGGGAAAAGGCAAACCCAGAGTAATGTACATTTAAGAGTGAAATAGAGAGGAAGACTACGAGGTTTATAGGAGTCGTTAGCCTGAATGTTAAGGATGGGCCAGAGTCTGACCTAAAGCTCACACCGTAACCATTTAGGGAAAACATCTTAATTAAAATGACAGAAGAAGTTTATCTGTGAGAAGATCCACATTTTGGCAAAGGCCTGTGTTTGTACTGCTCTATCAGCAGCACAGGAAGCAATCGTAGCACCGAGAGGTAGTCAGCATGAAAGTAACCGTTACGGTGCGGAGTCGTGGTGTCGGGGTAATGGAAACGCCGTTTTACACCTCCACCGCTGACAGCCTCGCTCGGCCAATCACACAGGGAATACAGGCAAATCTCAGGCGGCCAAATAACAGTCACGGAGCCATCCATTTCCTCACATGCTCGCTGCGGGGCACGAGGTGCAGCCCCATTAGTCAGACTGAAAAAGAGGGGAAGATGACAGAGAAGAGGAGTCTGAATTCAGGACTTTTTAATAATGCAGTCTGGTAAGATGTCAATCATTATTCCATCCATCCTCTAACGGCCTGTCCTGGTCAGGTTCCGAGGTTGACAGGATGCCATCATCATTCAATCATTATTGAAAAAGGAAAAATATATAGTAACTGGTTCAGACTGTTTAGTTGATTAGTCTTGCTGTACTGCAGCTCCCAAAAAGGTATGTTTTTCATCTGTGTAATTCTGGGTTTAAAATAAACTTTTTTTGAAGGAAAATTATCGGCCATCAGTGCAACAATGAATCAGCGGCCCGGTGTGACTCTGCTCGCTGTTCCGCTGAGCCCTGGGAGTACAGAGACGCGTCACGCCAGGCCGCAGCCCAGCAACGGTCCCAGACCGTGCGAGACGCGGAGGGTCCGGCTCCGGCCCGTCTTATCCCAAACTGCCTGCGCGTCGTTGGCATCTCAGTCACCATAAATGGTCAGAGACCGGCCTGAAAAGCAGAAATCTCTGGAATGTGCTGGAAAGAAACTCCGGGATGTTAGCGGTATGTTTGTCTTTGATTCTGCTCACTGATGTCAAGGAAAAACAGGCTCGTTCTCATCTGATCACACTCACTGCTTTCAGGCACTTTGAATTTCCCATGTAATGGATCTGCGGACGCTACCAATCGGATTACTTATTTAAGTATTGCATTAATAAATGAAGCAGGTACTTATTAACTGAGGTGTATGACGATACCCCAACAAGCATTAAAATAACGAGACCGTGCATAAGGATTAGAAAGTTCTAGGCACGCCCGACCTGCTCTGGGCCACACACTTCCATCCTCTCCCCATTTTGTCGAATCATTCCTCATTTTTCATGCATGTGTCAAAGCTCTTGCCAACATTTTTTCCCCAAACAATTCCTATTTAAAATATCTTCCCCGGGCTCCACCATCACTACGCTGTGGTATTACAACTATTGTGTGTTTAATTAAAGCATCCAAATCGATCTAACATTCTCCATATTCGCTAATTCACTGCTCTGTGCTATTTAAGGAAAGGTACACAAACAGGGTCACTGTGCTGCCTTTTTAAGTTTGAACTATATCAGTGTAGAGGATCTGCGTCTATTTATGATAATTACAAAACTGGTCATTTAGCTGCAGTACAGAAGGTAGGTCTTCACTGATATTCCGATGGTCACTAATTGTGTCTCACACTACTGCACTTTAATTGTTTATAGAACCCTTATTCAGCGTAACTGATAAATCTGAACTATTCCCTCATAATGGATCATAACTTGTGCATGACTGCAAAGAAAGTCTGCTTTCACTATTTACATAGTGTATGACAATCAGTGTTTTGATTTTACTTTCTCTTCGTTATGTCATTTTATTGGAACTGTGCCAAATCAATACTCAGTAATTATTAATTTTATTGTTCCCAGACTGATATTTGCTTTAGCGCATAAGTAGTTTAATAAATACCCAGTGAGCGGCCAAAAATGGGGATTTCCCATAGATGCCATTTCACATCTCCCAGTTCCACAAATCAATGGCATTCTCTAAAGTCTAGCCACTGAAATAAATATTTGACCCAATTACCGGCACCAAACAGAGTGAAAAGCCCCGCCCAAGTCTTTCTGCTGTACGGACTCAGGGTGGTGCTCCACTGCTTCGCAGTCATTCATCTCTACTTCCACTCAGTTTAGTTCAGTTTACTCTTACACATCACCCTTCTGAATACAGTCACCCCACAGAGCTCAAGAAAGATCTGGTAACAAAGCCAACAGTGGGTTTGGAATGAACTAGTGCAGAAGAATGAATGACATGACAGACAGACATAACAATGAATGACAATAAAATGTCATGTGATACTAAAAGTCAAGTGGAAAAATGAAAAAAGATAACAGACACTAAACAAAAACTTGTCTTGTGGTTATAGGGGAGACAAAAAACAACTTCTCTGGTTTCAAGGGCAGTGGGCTACCTAACCCTCTGCAAAGCTGATCTTAAGTCTAACAGATGATGTTTTACCTTGGAATAAACCATGACTATCACAGATGTGGTTATTCTATACCAAAAACATTGATGAGAACCTATAACCAAATCTATATTCTGGCACCTATCAAACAAACACAAAAGCAAACCAAGAAGTCAAGCGTATTTCCACAAAAAAAAAAGAGAGCGACAGATCTATACCCTCTGAGGCACAGACTTTTCATGTGGATAAGGCCTATACTCTCAAGATTTTTAGCTGTTTAACAGAGTGCCACTTTACCTTCTTAAATTAAATTTCTTAAAAATTATTTTTAGTCATTGTACTGCAGCCAGACATGGAAACAAAAACCACACATGTTTATAATTCAATCTGGGCTTCGTGCATATCAGCTCTGTCAGAACTTCAAAGGGTGTCAGAGCAGAAAGCATCACTTTGACTGATTCTCATATCACACAGTGCTTCGGAGATTCAAAATGATCCAGCGCACGTCACCCTGGGGACGACAGGGAGACCGGAAAAGACAAAAACAAGAGGGCGATACTGCGGAAGTACAGAGACCGAAGAATCCAGTGGGTTTGGCTGCCACAGATTCAGCAAGAGAATCGTCTGGTTTGAGCAGGCCATCTGTAAGGCTACCAGACTCGCAGGAATAACTAGGAAGTGTCTGATCCCAAAGCGTCCTGACAAATCGCTGCATGATTTCAAGGAACTGACAAGTCAAGTAATTTCTTTCCAAACAAATACCTTTGAGTATAGATTATTTCTGCACATGTTAGAGTGGCATATTAAAACTGTTTCATTACCTGGTTACAGGAGTCGTACCAGTGAGCATTTAGCTACATTCCGAAAGACTCTTTAATGTTTCTGAACAGCACAGTCACAAAAAACAATGGACCAAACCAGATAATGCTGGGAATATCCACATTCTACCATTACAGTACAGGACTGTTATTGTAAAAAAGCTGAAATCACCAGGAGACACTAAGATAAGGTGACTTTAAGGTGTGATTGGCATCATTTCCTGTGGACATTGAGGAAATAGTCTGCTGATGAACAAAGGGAATCGTTTTGGACGGGATCCCCATCCAGCACAGAAACACACCGGCAGTGAGGCTGAGCCGTATCTCGCGGGCAGGGCGGCACAGACACAACGTGGATAGGAGTCAAAGACGGATGCGGGGTGGTTCCGCAGGAAGCTGGTGCCGTTCGTTCCCAAGGAATTCCTTCAGTTCACTCCAGGTTCAGAGAAGCTCAGAGCGCTGACGTATGCTGCACAGGCATGTGCGCCAAAGCGCCAGTATCCCAGAACACCCAGCGGCGAGGAAGCTCTGCCTCGCGTGATGCAGATAATTACCTGAGGCATCGACACATCATGCTGCATTAACTTTGCCTTCCAGTGGACTGGAACCAAGCCAGGTCGGCAAAAATGGGCCCTCACACGGTGATGGGACAGCAAGAGCCTTCCATTACTGCATCTGGCTATTCTGGGGGGGGGGTTCCATTGCATGCACCATCACCTACCCCTCCCCCTCACTCTGCCAGTGGTTTATGCCATTCCTACTTAATCTTAGCCTCTCATCAGTGACATTCGGGTAACATCATTTTTTTTTCTAAACTAACCAATAAAAATATATTTTCCCATGAATCCCAGTAAGAACGAGCAAACCACATTCAAGTACAAACTGTGTAAGCGTTATTTAATGCTATAGTAAATATCTGTATCTGATTTTACAGGTTTTTTTTTCAGCCTTGATGCTGTTTGCATGAATTATTTGTAAAACTTTCTAGTGGTAGGCCATAAAGACACAACTTTTCATTATAAAAAGGATAAGATTTTTTTTCTTGAGCTTATTACCATTTTGGGGTACACTAGTTCTCAGGAATGCCCAAGCCAAAAACCACAAGGCTTACTCAGAATCTTAAAATCAGAAAAAAAGTTTCCATTCTAAAAACCAAGTAAAGCGTGGGAGCGACTGATCAGGAAAGGAGAAATATTTCACATATTCACTAAATTCCTCAAATGTCTTATAAATTGCGAGGAAGACACCCCTCGCGATTTAAGGACTCGGTGACAGAGATTAGCTGCCAACAGTAACACGCAACGTAAGGCGCCCTTTTAATACAATCTGATCTAATGCAATCTATCCCCCTCCATGATAAGATTCAGGAAGTAAACATTAAATGTTAAAAAGGTGTGGGTCCGATCTGTCTGTCTGACATTGAAACTGAGTGCTCGGGAGGTGGACGTTATACAAAATACAGTCACTAAGCACTCTAAACACACGATTTAGGAAATAATTAATAACACGATCTGGGCAGTTTAACTACACATGGGCGATATTGTGATGTATGACTCACCGACACAAGTCTGAGCTGCTCTGACAGGCGAGATTTTAGGTAGAAATTTTTAATAGCTTTGGGCGCGCTTTCTTTACAGTCCTTAACTATAAAGATTTTCGTATGTAAATAGAGAAGACATACTAAGAGACTGATTTTAAAAACCTTCCCAGTGAAGAGAAACTAATTCGCTTATAATGCTGGGAGTTTAAATAAATTCGTAATCTCTTTTTTTTTTTTTTATCAGCACAAACATGACGAGAGAAAGAAAAAAAGCACACCAACAAGACATTACGGCAGTCGTTAAGTCCTTACGAATATAAATTACATGACGGAAAACAAACTAAACATTTGGAATTTAAATAAACGGAGTAGAAACGCCGATGGCCGGTGGTGCAAAACCGCGCTTATTTGCCAAGTAAACCGTGCAGAACTATATCGGTGTGATAAAAAAAATGCATCGTCGCACCGCAAAGAAAGAAAGCGGATTATTCAGGAGGTACGCGCGGTGGGCAGTGAAGATGAAGGAAGCCCAGGAACTGCATGCATGTTGCTGCACGTCGAAATTATACGAGCACCTCTCCTTTTTAACACATGCAGGATCACTTAATACCTTTCTCTGCTGCTTCTCCCACGCCGGGTCCAAGAGGAGATCCCGGTCCCAGTCATCCTCCTGCTGTCTGTAATCGTTAGTCTCCCCATCGTAATGATCCATAGTGAAATACGCGCTCTCCTGCTCACGGTGCTGCCCCAGTTGCCTCCACGGTGAAATGATGTTGCGGCGACGCAGCTCCCCCGATCACTGCCGTCTGAGGCGAGGCGTCGGGCGTCACGATGCCGCTGGCTAGATCCGGCTGCCTGTTTATCTCCGTCTCTTTATCTGGACACACACCGAGCCCAGAGTCACATCCGACCGCTCCCGTCACAGGGCCACCGTAAGGCAAATAGGTGGTGAGAACTTTCTCTAAAAGAATAAAATAAATCCATGACGACACCGGCTTCCTGATTGGTTGGAAGACTTTTCTTGAACCCGCCCTCCAGCCCTGCTGGCGACATGATTGGACGGTCTGCCTGTCAGTACAGTGATGGATTATTCCCAATACTACTGGCTATGCTCGCCGTCCACAGCTCTCCGTTGCATAGCCCGTGCGGTTGCACACCCACTCAGATATTCGGCACCCGTCCATTCTGTGCTTATTGGAGTTTTAATGAATGCCGTCTCCCTAACCCTCTGGAAATATAATCCAGGCCTCGGTATTTTAAATCACTTGAACAGCCTAGGATGTAACTCTCCACCTTGACATGCAAAGCCAAACTGATAAAAAAAAGCGCTGACATAGGCCATGTAAATAAATGCCGGAAATATCTTGCAACACTAAAATGTCCTTGGAAAAGTATTCTGTTTGTTATTGCCGAAAATCCAGCATCTGTATCTATGTTGCCTGTAAACAACATATATGACGTATTCAAAAACACTTCTGTTCATTAAAATTCAAGGGTTATAATGAACCACTTCATTAATTTTAAATAATTTAAAAATACGCAGACACCTTGGAAAGTACAGTAATACTCACACTATAAAGGTAATTCAGAACAGTGATATTTTTGAATTGTGGTACACCACACTATCACAGCTAAATACATGTAAGATCAGACCCAGAACTGCGGCCACAGGAGTTCAAACCTGCCACAGAGGCTGGTTTTGTAAAAATAAGCCACACAAACATTGTCATGGACTCTGAGGGAAACAGTACAAAAGACAGACCAAAGGTGCCCAAAAATGCGAAGACTTTAAAACCAAGTTTCATTGAAATTTACTGCACCGGTGTGAGAGTATACCTCAGACCGGGCATTTACACTTCTTGGTGTCAGTTGTGACATTTGTAGCCAGAAGATTACTTATACCAGGCTAATTCTTATACCACAATTTAATAATTATTTTAAGCAATTATATTTTTATCTCTCCCTTTTGAAGAATAAAGACATTGCTCTATACTTTTTCATGCTCGCGAATATGTATCCTAGCAACATGGCTATCTGACAGTTGCATAACAGACAGAGAAGCAAGTTTGGGGGTGAATATTCAATGCTATTGTGGAAGATTCCTCTTTTTGGTTCACTTTGTCTATTAATTCAGACGTAGCTATTTCTGTGGCGATATAGGAGTAATTACATGGCCGTATTCACAATTTTGGTCATCTGCACTTCAACATGAGCAAAACCATGTAATTGTGCTCCTAGTAATGTCTGTAGTATATATTTTTTTGCTTTAATTAAGGGTTACTCACACATGTACATGGTTCTATTTATATATTTCATTTGTGGTGACACAAACTTGCTTGATATTTTTATATGGACCACAACATGTAGAAATAGTGATTGATGGGCTACATTTGCAGCAGATGGACTGTATGCTCAAACCTCCTGGGCTCTTTGCTGCATCACTACCATAAAATTTACAGATGGGAAGTGTAAAAATGTATGCAAGTCACTTTGGATATTTTTGGCTGTCTAACAAATATGGGCTGCCTCAGTTTTAGTGAGGTCAGTGTAATCCCAGACATTTTTCGTCCCACTAAGCAGGGTTGCATTCTTCACATCTAATGTCTCTGTTTCCCCCAAGTCACCCACCCTGAATTTACTTTCCAAAGTATGCGAACGGCCACAACGGACTGCCAAAACTTGGGCTGCAATGTAAACATGACAAACAGTAGGCCAGGTCTCCCTGCCTTGTAAGGTAAGACTTTGGTTCACAAAGCCATAGACATGCGTTGTGGCCACAGCCCCCCCGGAGGGGCAGAAAGGTGGGAAGCTCCTGCTTCCTTATATGGGCAAACTTACAATGGATGAGCATTTGGAAGGGTGATGTCATAGATAAAATGCAAGGAATGCTCCCTCATTTATGGATCGCTACTTAAAGAGGAAGCATATTTATACAACTAAGAAAACTTCCTCGGTAAGTGCAATCCAGAGCGTTGCCGTGATAGTCTAAAGCACTGAAGATTAAAGTGTATAATTAAAATGAATATTTCTATAACCATCACATAAGGCCCATATTTTTCCCTTCTTTGATCCAATATGCTAGCATTGCATATACTGGATCTTATGTGATTCCTATACAGACAGTTAATGAGCCGTTTAAAATTAAACCATTTAATAAAACGGTCATGTTCTCATTTCCTCCAAACTAAACATGTGTCAAAAGACCTTTCAGAAAAGACGAGTAAACGGTGAGTCTTGTGAAGTCTTTTGCACAACTGACCTAGAATCATCACTTCCTAAATGCTCTCTTCCCAGAATCGACAAATGCAATGAAGTGAAATCATGCAGTACATAGTTCCCTGTCCAAATACCTCTTCAGTCAGGATTGTTTAATGCACTTTAGAAACCATTAAAATCACACATGCAGAAAGGTCACCACGATTGCATTTGAAGGCCCAGGTCTGATAGCAGTACAGTATTTGTGTGTGTGAAGGTGGAGCCTAAACTGACAGGAGCCATAAATTGTTTAAATGAGCTGAATAAGGCTGAGCTCCATCTGCTCTGCTCTTCCTGCTGCTCCTTTTTGTAATACAGATACTGCAAAGCACAAAGATGAACCTTCAAATGGGGAACTGAAAATCAATGAGGAGTTCATAGTGAAGTTTTATGCTTTACGTTTCACAGGAATATTAGGTTTACCAAAGGCCGGCACTGAATAGCATGCACTTTCCAAAGGTCCATTCTCCTCATATCTGTTTTGATGACACATTCGCATTCCGAGTGTTGAATTGGAGCCTAGCCTGGGAAGCAGAGAGCATTAGGCAGGCCTCTAGTCCATCACAGGTCGCATGAGAACATTACTATACCTTTGTATGAGAGGCTTTAAATGTGGCTGAAACGTGGATAAAAATAGCGTGCCTTGTTCTTCTATGATTCACGGGGAAGTGCACCTCTTTGATTTCACATGTGCATCGCACGCACACATATGAAATCCTCTCATTCATCGTTCTGTTCCACAAAACGTTTCACATCAAGAATCTACCGTGTAAGCTACGGTCGCCTTCGCTGAATAAGTGTCCACAGGAAAGGTAAACGACATCAGGAACTGTCCCCAGTCACGTGACATGTTCCATTCTGCAACAGACAACAGGCAAATTTCATTGGGTTAACGGCCCACACCAATCAATGGCGATAAGCTTCCAGACCCGCGGCTGCATCACTAAAGCAGAATATTCCCAGATGAACCTTGTAACTCACATGCAAATCCAACAGACACAGATAAAACTCATCAAATTCACTAGCGGATTTCAATTTCCCTTGCGTGAGCCGGTGTTAAAAAAAAAAAGTTTTAAAAGCAATTTACATCATTTAGTTAAATAATGATGAAACCAAAGCAAAGAAACGTTTTTTGTCATTAAATCTAGAACTTTATGGGGGGAAAAAAACATATAAATATAATCTAAATTTGATAACTTTAATAAAATGAACTTGTAGGCCGCATAGTATGTAGAAGTCACTGCCACCCCTGGTAAATTTAATACAATCAAAACCACTAACGGTCAGAGCGTGACATGCGTCCGCTGCAATAGTACGAGGTAACGGTGAAAATTAGGTTTCAGAAGCAAAAGTTGTTAAATTTTACAGTGAAGTAATTTCAAAAAGGATGTGAAATATGGAAGCAGAAGTGATAAAAACAATGACGGTAGTCTACATTCAGAAGCAGAATAAATTGATAACGGAGGGAACCACAAACATCGCATAGTTCAGACTGAAAATTCTTAACGCTGGTACGGGTAAAATCAGACACACGTGTCATGTGCAGCGGAGATGCTTAAAGATACGGTTAAGTTTTCCCAGACATATGGACAGAGAAAAACCATATGTGCCGAGACTAATCCTTCAAGCGGTTAACATGTTACGAACGGGACACCAGCTGAAAGTGACGCTCCGACCTCCCAGAGAGAGATCAGGGAATATGATAACTGAAGCAGAATAAAATATGGCCTTTACACAATGCTACATCCTGGGCCAAAAGAAGCTGGAGAAAGAATCATACATCATATGCAGGATGGCTCCCAGATGGGAGGATCGTATTCTGAACAATATTTCTACGGTGAGAAAAAAATTGGGAGAATGCCATGTATGGCAGCACACATATCCAAGAATACACATATGAAAAACAATCTCGTTAACACATGCATGTGGTTTCCTCAAAACTCCCCAAATTACATATGTAAATATATTTCATGTATACAATGTATATTATGTTATTATTTAAATTATACATATTTTTTATTTCCATATAAAAGCACAATCTTTTAAGTGTATAATAATCAGTGATACTTTCAGTGATTCAGTATTTTGAAATACTTTTTAATTGGTTTTAACCTTGAAAAATGTAATATTGCATGTGTCAGATCATAAAATATTATTTTAAATAGCATTTTTGTAATGTTCTGTAGATTAAGCACGCTCCCTTTTCTCAGAGTACGCTGGCTCCTCCTGCTGGTAAAGACGATGCAATGCAGGTTACGATTATCCCCGCGTGGTAGTGTTTGCGCAGTCCAGTCTTATGTCAATCAGTGTGCATTTTGAATAAGGACAGTTAGAAAAGAGGTGATTTTTTTTTAAGTTTACTGATGAGTTAAAGTGATCTCTTTACCTTTGGAAGGCTTCCATCACCAGAGATTTTTTAATACACAATGTACTGTACACTTCTTACCGTACACTCAGTTAGTTACCCTGTACTTGTGAGTGGTTGGAAAATGGATGGATGCATACGCAATGTATTGCTTTTTGTGTTTTTTATTTTATTTTTCAAGACCCATCTGTGAGAGTTTTACCGTGGGGAGCTCATTGGCCGCGAGCTTCTATCAAGACTAATTGGTCTATTGCTCCAGTCCACCTCAGTCCTCACCATTTTTGGTGTGTGTGTGTATATATATATATATATTCCCAGTACCTATCGTACACAAATAGTTTGTACGATAGGTTTTGAAGCCGAGCGCACGTAAAAACAAGAAAAACAAGGAGCGCATGTGTGCCATATGATTTTTGATGATACTTGGCGCTCGTAATCCAGGACTTGCTCGGTTTCCAAGTCAAAATTTATTAAAAATCTTTGCTCGTCTTGCCGAACACTCGTAAACCGCGTTACTTGTAATCCGAGGTTCCACTGTATCATGGTTTTCGGTCAATGTTGTCTTTGCAGGTTTTATGGGAGTGTAACGCTAAACCTTGCAGTTGTCTGTATAGAGCAACAGATGGGTAAACCTGCACTGGGAATCATCTGGTTGGCCTCCTTGATCTTGAATATAGAAGTTGATCCTCTGTGTTGGTCAAGCATTCATGTGTGTACGAGTGATCAATCAGGAGACTACAGATGACCCCATAGTACAAAAACAAGAAATGTCATTGTGAAATCGCATATGTTAGGTTTCCATTGTCCAGCAAAGGACAAACAGTCTAGTTTTGCTTGTAATTTACCTTAAGTATCCTTTTCTTTTGTACTCAGAGGTTATGTTAAAAAATTCAGTCATGTTTTTAGGATGTCCTAATTCCTGTTTTTCTTTTGGATGTCCAAATAGTAATTAACAGCAAAAGAAGACACTGTGGTGACACACCAGAATCTGCCTGAAATATGAAGTTGCATTTGGGGCTGTTAGCTTTATTTAACTTTAAAAATGGCCTGTGATAGCAAGAGATTAAGTGCACGTCGCTGGAAAAACACATTTCTCATGAAAGTGAAAAGTAAGCATCAAATTAATATATATAAACGGTTATCAAATGTGAATGGATGTGCCGGATGCTAATGAAGGATCAAATGATATACTATGCAGCTACCTAATGATGAAGCATTGTTAAGTTATTAAATATCAAGTTATTATTCGTAGTGAGTTATTAATAAAGCCTTAGTGTCATTAATAAGTCGTCGAAAATCATTTCACTATTGAGGTTTAAATACTTCTATGAACCAGTGCTCTGAGTGATTACTTTATAATTATGCTTAAAATGGTGATAACAAACCATGCCGGTAGATTTAGCTACTCTCGTTACACATCACAAGACCTAATATAATTACTTTGAACTGAAACCTCCACCGAAAACCTTTTCTAGGTAAAAGCAGATTTTTTGTTGTTGTATGACAGTTTTCAGCGGTTGGCGTTTCCGCGGAAACAGCTGCCGCGTCTGATTGGCGGAGAGCGAGGAGGGCGGAGCGTCGTGCTAGAATACGGCGTTACGGAAGCCGCAGTGCTGCACCCGAACATGGCGCTCCTGCCCGCCCGTGTGCTGGAGGCCGCCCTTACCCGGTGTCGATCGGCGCCGCACCTTCTGCTGTTTTGCATCGTTTTTGCCGTTTTGCTTAAGTCGCGTCCCGTGCTAGGCAAAAAGAGTCAGCCTAAAGAGATCACTGACAGTAACTGGGAGGAAATTCTGCAAGGAGAATGGATGATAGAATTGTAAGTTTCATTACTTCCCACACATGCGCAAAAAAATGTTCTGGACGTGGGCTGAATGGTATACCTGTGATGCCCGAGTAGGCGATAATAAGTCGATATAAAGGATAATTAGAAAAATAAAACTCAGGAACCGCACTGGATTTAATAGTCTTTTAATGCCAGGTACTGCTGTGAAAATTTTGTAACCCATTTCCTGCTGAGGAGTACCTATAAATATATCTTGATTTAGGGTTCCGTTCTTATTTTTATTGCCAGCTTTGCTCCTTGGTGTCCAGCCTGCAAACAACTGCAGCCAGTCTGGGATGAGTTTGCAGAGTGGGGAGATGACCTGGGCATTAACATCGCCAAAGTGGACATCACTGAACAGCCCGGTACTGTAGAACCCAACGAAGTCATATAGCGAGGCTATTAGCATCAGATCTTTTTAAAGGTGTGCATCTTTAAAGTCTTTTAATCGCTGGATTAAAACAGATCCCCGGTTATCGCTGGCCTTCTGTCCCGGGCGTGCTGTTTTAAGCGCTCCGATTAACCTTATTAAGGTCACGATTAATAGGGTTGGGCATTAAGAAACAATGGTGACTCGAACTCATGCAGTTGCTGTTTCGAGATTGTGTCTATCTGGCTGGTCTTGTATCTGACCTCTTTATTGACATACTGCATGTCTCTGCTGCAGGCCTGAGTGGGCGATTTGCTGTCACATCCCTTCCTACAATCTACCAGTGAGTTCCTCATTTGACCTTACTTCGAGAGCCTGTGCTGAATGTTTAGATTATCACAGCAGCAGACAGATTATACAGTACACCCAGTGCTTTTGAGTGGTGCAACAGAGGTTTAAGTTTGGTCTAAATGAAGGATTCTCTCCCACATTTTCACACTGATTATAGGTAAGCATTCATACAAGATTTCTGAAAGTATGTCACTCGCAGTCTGGCTGCTCTGCTCTTTCACTTGTTACTCATCATTCAGTTGAATGCAGCACTTGAACCTAAATTGTCTCTGATAACTCCATGATTATCACCCCTACGCCGCTTTGGACGAAAGCTTCTGGTAAATAAATGTAAATGTAATGGGCTCTTTGTGTGCTGCTTGTGAAACTTGCACCATATGAGGTAATGTTGTATATTTTGCTAGAGGACGTTTGTTTTTTTATATATATATATATCTCCTTGTGCCTTGCACTGGGATAAGGGTGCTTTTTTTTAGCATGTTAAGCCCTTTTGTTCAGGCATTCTTCAGGTTGTTGGCCACATGGTGGTCAGGATCAAAACGTAAACGATTGTTTTGACTTGTCAATGTCAAAACGTAGTTATACCTGGAGAATGGGAGACTTGCTTCTGGATTCTGCATTTATTATTTAGCCGATTGGTTATTATTGTTAGTGAAGCACCGCTCTGAAAGCAGGGCCAGCCAGGTTTAAGGACCTCGCTCAAGGACCTGATTGCGAAATCTCTTTGCCAACCATGGGATTTGTACCAGAGGTCTTCTGGCTATAGTGGCCTAGCCTGCTGAGCCACATATCACATCCCCGTGCCTTCAGCCTCGGTTTAAAACCTCGCTGTGCATTTCAGCTGTAAGGACGGCGAGTTCCGGGTCTACGATGGAGCCAGGACCAAGGATGACTTCTTGGGCTTCATCGATGAGAAGAAGTGGCAGAACATCAAGCCCATGTCCTCCTGGCTGGGACCCTCCTCCTTCCTGTGAGTGTGTGTCGGGCCTCCAAGGCGTCTGTCCTGTGGATGCGCATAGATCCTTTGGTGTCCTTGTGCTTTTTGAGTTCTAGTGGCACTGATTTCCAGGGATGTCCTTCAGATAAGTTAACTGTCTGCTGCCGCCTTCTGTGCTTACAGCATCCCTTATCTAATGCAGCCGTGTCAGATGATTCAGGAGTTGCATGGTTGTCTGATACTGTACCTGCTTCTCGTGTTCATTTTGCAGGATGAATGGCATTTCTGCAGTCTTCAGGCTCTCGGTGTCCATTCGGGTACTGTGACGTGATATTTCATTTTTGTTTTTCACTGAACGTTACCCACATTTTGTCACCCTACCGTTCTAGGTATGCACCTTAATAACTAACCTAACGGATCATTTAGCTTGTCATCAGGTATCAGGGTTAAAATGTTTGCGTGACGATCCCTGCATGTAGTGTAAACTGGGTTAATTACGTTGACTTTCCCAGTTGGCTGGTGTATTTTGTGCAGTGGAGAATGTCTTGTCATATAAAGTTTGTTCCCTATGCTCGTTAATGAAGTTGTTAGTGATTCTGTCCTAGTGCAAGGTAGGGCTGTACGGTATCACATCGTAATGTATTTATGGTTTTATGGCACATGCGCAATAATCACCAGGGCTTTAGATGACGGGTGAAACATTTGTCCAGACCCCAGATTTTTGGTACTATATGGACATTTACTTACACCCACAATTTTGTAAGCAGATTAGTAGTATGCCTAAAACACTAATGAGATGCGTATTGTAACGTCAAAAAGTTAGTAGTCTGTATTAATTCGGTGTATCCCTATGTTATTTAAGTTTGGATAGCAGAGCACGCCACATGCTCCTGTTTTGGTAAATCATGAATGGGTTGCGCACTGAAGTGGCGGTGAAGAAAGGGACGGCTCATCAGCCATCTTTCAAACATCTTTTAAAAGCAGAAATTGTGGATAAACACGGTAAAGACATTTCGGGTTGTGTCGGTACTTTTTGCAGTTTAAAGTCCCACACGTTTATTAAACATAAGGATGTGCTGAATTTCTACAGATTACTGACATTTTAGGCGTATTCTAATCTGCTTACCAAATTGTGGTTGTAAGTAAACGTTCGTCGAGTACTGAAAAGCTGGCGTCCGGACAAACGTTTCACCCGTCATGTAATTTCCTGGTGGTTGTTGCGCATGTGCCGTATAATCGCGAGTACGTTATGATGTGATGTCATGCAGTCCTAGTGCAAGGCAGCCCTTTCCGTCGCTTTGTAACGCCGTGGCTCCTCTGCCTTGTTCTCCTCTCCAGCAGTGGCACAGCTACCTGACGGAGCAGCTTGGCCTCCCCGCCTGGGGCTCCTACGTCCTCTTCACCTTGGCCGTGCTCTTCACTGGCCTGGCCCTCGGTCTGGTGAGTCCTCGCTGTCACAGTCCTGCAGACCGAGACGCTTCTCTGCGGCCCATGGGCGATGGGGACACACGCAGCTCTACCCGTGGTTTTTAGTAATGGCTGACTGGCAGGTTTGTGAATGGATCAATGAATGAATGAAAGACGCCCAAAGCGCTTCACAGAAGCAATGGGGAGCCACTTCAACCGCCACCACTGTGTAGTAGGGCTGTCACTGTGTAGTAGGGCTGTCACTCTGTAACCGATACATGAACATGATGTGAAAAATTCATATTCGAACTATAATTAATCCATTGGAATTTTAAACTGTCATTGTAGCCTATATTCTGAGGCTCCAGCATGAATTATGTGGTCTCCTTCATCCCCTCATACCCCTATGTCCTCCTCAGATCCTGGTGATCATCACGGATTTTGCCTTCTCCTCCCGCCGCCCCGATCCTCCCCCTGGATACTACCAGCGTTAGTATCCACAACTCTGTGCCTGAAACTGCTGACTGTATCCGCTTATTCTGGGATTGCTCAGTTTTGCTTAAATTCTGTTTTTTGGGGTTTCTGAAGAAAGTCAAGGGACTGTATATTTGTTCCATGGGTTATAAGTGTAATTTTATGTTGATATGTTTTATATTTTATACCTGGGGAAATGTCTGTGTACTGTAGGTAAGCCAGAGAACAGAGAACCGGTCTAACAACAAGCTTGACTGTTTAAAATTCTACTACCTGTAGTATGCATGTAGTTACATGGTGTTTGTGCTTGAGAATGTGTTTGTAAGCTTAATATTCCTTGCTTGTGTCATTACCGTCTTGTGATTCAGGGAGACGGCTCTTGGAACGGGCTCACTTGACAAAACTGGAGGAGGATGAACTGGAGGAGAATGAGGAAGAGGACGAGACTGAGGAAGAGGAGGCTGGCGGCAAGCCAGAACTCAGGGACGAGGACTTCCAGGAGGAATCTCTGCGGAGGAGGTTCCAGGGTCCTGGCAGGGAGGAGGAGGACACCTAGAGGCCAGGATGGGTACTGCAGATGTACCTAGAATGGCCCACCGGGGGATGGGGCACGAGCACAGGCGGCAGAGTTGTATCTTTGTGGGGCTGCCCTGTGAGTTTGGTGTGGTGTGTCCTCCCGGAGCAGCTCACCTGCCCTCCATCGCTCCCTCCCTTCCACTCCCTCCCTTCCACTCCCTCCACGCATGTTCCCCTGGAGACTGTTAACTGTTACTCTTCGGAAGCAATACTGCAGTTTCCTTTAATAGGGACATATCGTGCAGTATTCTTTTTTATTATTGGGTTTTTGAATTTGCCTTTCTTCGCTAATGTTTCTAATTTTAATCTCTGCTAGCTGAGTTGTGCCTGGAGCGCTCTCCCCATGTGCCGGGCCTCCCCCGCCACGCCCTGGACTTCCCGCTGCCCTCGCTGTGGTCTGTTTTTCCACTTATCAGCCAGTTAAATGGCCGCCTCAGATCCCCAGCAGCGTTCCGTCTGGGTCTGTGGGAGGTGGAAGCGTTTAACATCCGCGCTAAGCGATCCGCCGTGCTGGAGTGCCAGAGCGATGCACGCAGCACCATAGCCCACTTCCTGCAGCAGAAATGCAGTAAATGTTAAAGCCTACACCAGCCTCTCATTACTTAGCTCATGTGCCCATTTCATGTCAGTTTGTTGAAATGCATTAAAAGAAGTCCCCCCTCCCCCCCCAGTTTGGAACAGCGCCCTCTACTTTCTGTCTTGGTCGTGAATTTTATAATGGAGTGATCAGCTTTATGTAAATTGGAATAGTTACTTGGCTCCCACAGTGCTGCAGATCCCATGTGCTGTGAGAATATTCTGTAACTTCCATGCTAAACACTAGAGGGAGTTATTCCTTTTAGGATGGTGAAATAAAAGCAGGCAGTTGTTAAACCTAAGACTGACAATTTACATGAATGCACCAAGCAACCAAGTGCAGAATTGAGGAAATCATTCTAAAATTAATATTCAACAAATGGCAATTTTAATGTGAGGTTTTAGTCATTCCTATCCATGCCCTGCACTGTATCCCTAATCATGCCCTGCACTGTATGCATAATCCCCTCTTTAGAGATTTCATTCTTCACTGTCTTGGAGACCAAATTAAACCCCGTTTTGTTTAAACTTAGCTCTTTTTTTAATTCCCCAAAAAAATGTTTTCATTCAAGTTTACTCAAGTTTCTTAAAATAAAAACTTTGATGTTTTGCTGTACCACAAAGTAAGAGTATGTGTTATTTCCATTATTAATCTGTTAATCTGTGTGGGGGAAGGACTGGTGTAGTCAGAAGCGGTTTTGGGCCTTCTAGAGATAACCGTAAGTTTCATTTTCCAGTAGCAGCTGTGTCACGGGGGTCATGGTATTTAAGGGCCCGACCGAAGTTTAAAAATACATTGAAAAATACAGCATTTTTCTAGTGAGGGGGCAGGAATGAGGGAGTGGAAAATTTTGTCCTCTGCTTTGGAGATGCTTGAAAATTCCGACGCAATGGAGGTTTTCACTGTGATGTGTGAATATTACGATCCACAGTAGGCATTGTAGTCGACGTGGACAGCACTCTGCGCCCGACTACCCGGTAATAAATACAGCATTTGAATTGTAAACATTAACCAAAGGAAAAACGAATACTGGATCTCATCTAGTAGAGAGAGATGATCAGTCCTTTGCCTTTGCCTAACAAAGTGCCAGTTTAACTAGCTTTGACTTGGTCTTGTGGAAGGATCAGATTTAGGGCTGGGATGGAAACCAATGACATCTTCAGGGAAAGGGAGCCAATCTCATCGCTGAAACACAAAGGTCAGTGATTGGAACTGCAGCTGGATGAAAGAGGGTGTTGTGGAGTGACTGATTCATCAACGTTTAAATCGCAATGGAGACTGACAAACTGCCCAACCTGTACCGTGAGCTTTTGTTGCCAGGGAAACCCATGAATGGCATTCTGGGTAATTCTGTGAAGCTTTACTAATTATATTCGGAGAAGACAACAGGAAGTCTGCTGCTATCATACAGTCTGTCTGTCTTATAAACTGAGACCCTGTGCTGCATAAACAACTATAAAAGATGGGTGGTGTTATTTACATAAAGATAAATGGATCTGTGAAAAAGAGCTACTTTAATGCAATATTTAATTTTTTAAAAGTCTGTGCATTGAGCATCCACATGGTTTTCTGCTGAGCAAGTTGTGACCATCTGCAGGCTTCGCTCGACAGTTACAGCGCCCCCCCTCATTGTCCCCACCCTGAAGCGAAGGGCTGTGGCACTCCGTCACGTGACCGGCCTGTTGGCGAAATGCATGTAAATGCCTGCCATCACATGACCCTCGCCTCGTGAGTTGTTCTGGCTGCAGACATTATTTGTTTCCTTCCTCGAATAAACTTTTAAGTGAGATAATCATAATATCATAAAGACAGAAGATTCCAGAACAATCAGTGATCCATCCATGATTGGTTATTACTAAAGTAAACATCAAGGGCACCACTTTTGGGAAAGAAAAAAAAAAAAGATCAACAGCGATTGCTTCAGAAATAATAGATCTGCTGGTGAAACAACAGTGTCTATTTAATGGTCGACATCCCAGGTTGGATAGACCTCATGGTACACGTTTATAGACCTCATGGTACACGTTTTGGTTCATTTCTTAAAAGCAGCATATCATCAGCTGAACTTTTAAAGCCTTCTGTATCTCTGTTGACACCTTGTGGGTAGTAAGCCTGGGCACAGGAGGCTGGGCGTTTCTGAAAGACTGTAGCTAGACTCTTACCTGATAGGCAGTGAGGAGAGACCACAGTAATTCCATATGGGCGGTGCCTCTGATCGGGCAGGTACTCATCCGGGGACTGACTGCTGTTTGGGTCCATCGCCAAGATGCCATCCCTGGATAAAACCAGGTATATATGTGTGATGTAGCTGCTATCCTCTTATGAGAACCATATCTGAAGCATCTCATGTATCTCCTAGCGTGGAGTGTAAGCAGAGTACTGCATAGTTTCAATCAATCAGCTATTAGAGTACTTTGTGACTGTGATTCTTTTTACTTGACTTGTGGTTATGAGGAGAGGTTAGCTGAGCTGAATCTGTTTAGCCTCGCGCATAGGAGACTAAGGGGGGACATGATCCAGGTATATAAGATTCTAACAGGCCTGGATGCTGTTATACCAAATGGCTACTTCAATATTAGTTTAAATGCTAGAACTCATGGCATAGTGGAAATCAGTGGGAGAACATTTTAAAATGAATTTGAGAAAGCACTTAGTTTTTTAAAAATACAGACAATCTGTAGTTAAGACGCACCTGAGCCAGTCTGTCCAGTAGAAGTGTCCAGCGTGGACCGCCAGAGCGAAGGGGTAGTTTAGAGTCCTTTGCAGCTGTCGTCTCCCTGTCCCGTTGGATGCTATGCACTCCAGCATCTTGGTGCCTGAGTGAATGCATTTCATTAGCAAAGCTGGGTTACTTACAAATACTCACTAAAGCTAAGGAGTTTATTTACTTGAACGCTACACAGCACCTTGTGAATACTCTTGGGAAACAAAAGCAAACCTAAAGGTGAATAATATGCAGTGAAGCTTTGCTATTATGGGATATAAGCTGGGAATTCACCCTTTTGGCTTTGATGTTGCGCAAGTGGCAATGCATCACAAATACAACAAAACAGTGTGGTGGCGAAATGGATATTTTCAAAGTCCCCATTAAGAATAAAGATTTAACCAACAGTTCCAGTAAAAACAAAAACAGTTAGTGTTACGTTTCATTGAGCAGGAAAGGATTTCCAGCGATTTCCTGCATTTCTCCCGTTTCCTAGATTAAATGAGTCACAGTTCAGTCATGTTGTCTTTGTAAAGCTTCATGTTTAAGCACCAATAAATAGAGTTTGTACCAGCGTCTGCCCAGCACAGCTGCCGAGCTGAGTCGTCGAAGGTCAAGGCGTTGGGGAGCTGGATGCCGTCATGCACCAGCACCTTCCGAAGCTGACCCTCCACCGTGCAGCTCTCAATCTTGGGTGCCTCTGGGTTCCAGTCGCTCCAGTACATAGATCTGCCAAGCACACCGAATGGGATGCCAGTCCGTCACATGGTACACACTGACACACTATGAGCCCATCAGAGACGCCAGCCCAGTGAAGCTCGATGTTATTTGAATGTTGGTGGAAACCCACCAATGTCGGTCCTTTCAGCTCCAGAAGATACAAATCCAGACCAAGAATTTGTTTATACCTTCCAGCTGAGTATAAAGAGTCACATTCACAGAATACTCAACTGGTAGGTAGAAACAAAATCTTGGTGCGGATTTATAGCTTATGGACCTGAAATGACCAATAGTGATACGCACACAAAGATAGGAAGGTGTTCAGACCCCACAAACGCAGGGCCTGGGGCTGGAAAGAAACCCTGGAGGGTGACATCACAGTCACGCCCACTGGGCCACTCTGCCATGGGTTTTGTTACCCTTTGAAACTTTTGTGTTGGAGATCCTTCATCTGGAAAACTTACCTTACTGTGATGTCCATTGTTGAGTCCAATCATCACATCACATCACATTACATATGGAATACGTCTATGACCTCATAAATATTTTGCAATAGAACACTGGATACCACCTATAATATTAAAAAGAGTGTTCAAAAATGGAGTCAGTGTGAATGAACTCCCCCCACCCTCCCTGACTGTGGTCTTCATCTCTGTTTCTCACTGTCTGGGTGGGTTAGCCGTGGCTGCTAAGCCTCTTAGCCTGTTATTTGTCCTGCTGCAGGATGTGTGTCTGTTCTGTCACTCATACATTCCACATGTTAGACAAGTCTGATTAAACAACGCTTTGGGGATGCTGTACTGTTAATAAAATTAAGTTAATAAAATAAAGTTAGCGAAAAGCACAGGTTTCTCAAAGCAGCCTTTATACTCTGCCGACTGAAACGCGAGGCAGTGACCAAGACAGGAACACAATGCAAAGTGCAGAACCTACGCAATGCTTATGTTGCCAGTTAACTGTAATTTCAATTCAGGCCACTTGGGGGCGGGAAACCTACCCGCCGCTGGAATCCACGACGATGGCTCGCGGGTTCACCAGACCATCGCGGAACATGGCCCTCCTGCCCCTGCCGTCCAGGCCTGAAGTCTCGATCCTGTCTGCTCCGCTGTCCACCCAGACCATCATCCCACGCACCGCATCCACCGCCAAACCCTCAGGTGCCACCAACCCTGGACATTTACAGTAAGTTTGCAGATGGCTGCTATCTCAGCCGGCATTTTGGGATTTATTTACACTGAAACATCACCCCTTTTTCCAGCTGGCATTTTATTATATTTAGAAAAATACAGTACGTAATTTTATTAACTGATCTGATTAATCATATTGGAATTTATTTAAACCAATGACTTCAATACTACAGTGTTGGAGTCTGTATTAAATCAAAGAGGAAATGCAGTGTTTTCTGGCTGATAGAGGCTGACTGTAAGTAGTTATTTTTATTTATGATGTGAACCTCATCTGTAAGCTTGTGTCAGCAATACTGGGTCAAAGGAGAACATGTCCAAACGCCCGGTGCTAGGCGTGGTACGTATAGTGTTAGTGGTTCTGCGTATGTGAGCTGGGCTGAAGGGGTTCTTGTAGTCTCAGGTTCACCTGTGCTGATGAGAACCTCTGGCTGCACCCCAGGTTCCAGTCTCGCTCTGCTTATGGTCCGTTTTGCCAGGTCGGTCCAGTACACTATCCCTTCCTGGCAGTCATAGCCGATTCCGACTACAATGGAGCCCTGAGGTCAGAAGAGACATTTTGGACAGTGACCAACCACTAATATCAGGTCAACGAATCAAGCAGACAGACCTAACAGTAACCAACCAATAGCATAACACCACTGGGATACTTTTCATTGAAATAATAACCACCATTGAGTCTGGAGATTAATCTCTGCAATTTAACAGGATACTGGCTACTTTGGAAAATGCTTTGCACAAGGTTTAATACTTTTGGCTGAAACAATTTTGGTCAAATGCTCTGTTCAGGGCCAGAGGTGGCAGCGCCAACCAGATACTCAAACCATCAACCCTATTGCAATAAATCCATGTTCTTTTCTCCTAGATCACCTCATTCCGCTGTTAGAAGAGGGGCCCAATTTTCCATAAAGTTCACAGACAAGCCATTGTACTGTCACCTGCAGCCAGAGTAGCGATGAGGCGGACTCCTTATTCATGCGAGGCCCATCGAGAGGCACAATTCCAATATGGTGGCCCTGGGTGTACAAGATAGCAGGAGAGGCCAGGGGGAGGGTCATGGTGGGGCGGGGCTGGTGTCGCTCCGTAGGCGGGGCCACAGTGTCAATACCTAGTCAGGTGAAGAGCATTATTTGTCAAATGTACAGGAAATGCAGCTCTATGAGCAGACTAGTCACACACTTTAATATTTCATTGGATGCCTTCAGCTTGGATTATGATGCACATTCTTCACTGCATTGTTTCCACATGCTTATGCAACATCTCAACATTTTTATTCATCCAGATTTCATTTCTTGTCGAGATCCTGTATTGATGATAGTCTTCTTCAGTACATCTCAAAGACTTTCAGTGGGGTTTTGGTGGCCAAATCATGTGTAAAAATGATTCCTCGTGCTCCCTGAACCACTCTTTGACAATTCGAGCCTGATCAATCTTGACATTATCACTGCAGAATATGCCCATGCCATTAGGAAAGGAAAAATCCATTGCTGGGATAACCTGGCCGTTCAGTAGATTCAGGTACTCAGCTGATTTCACTTTATTGCTGCATAATGTCGCTGAACTGTAATAATGATCCAATAATTGGCTCTTAAGTATGTGTAGATTTAAATTCAAACGGTGACTTTTTATTGGTCAGACAGTGTATGTATATATACACACAAAGATGATATATGGAGATTTATACAATATAAACATATTTACATGAGCTCATTGGTACAACGTCTTAGCTGACGTCTTCACTGCACTGTGCATGCTTACACCATGTAGGGGACCTGAGTGTGATTTGTGCCATGGAGGCCTTCTGACTCACAGGGAGGTGTGACGGAATCCTGAGTTCGTGTCCCGATGATTTCCTGGCTTTCCCCGTCCACACACCAGCAGGAGCTACGGTGACACTGCACTGGGCTGAACTGGGCCGGGGAGTCACACTGCGGCAGGTACCCGTGTGAGCTTCCCTGGTCCCCATTCTGCGCTGTCGGCTTGTCGCGCTGGCGCCCACAGGCCGTTTCCTGCCGTCCCTCACTCCGGACCGCAGGCACACCGAGCAAACACCAAAGCAGCTGCATGATCCATCCAGCAGAATCTCCTGCGGATTTCAGTAATTAAATCTCCCTCCTGTCCTGCATTCACACCATAGCTGCGATTTCCTTTGTGGAGTGCAATACGGCAACTAATTTTTGTATTGGAATGTACAGAACAAAAAAAAAGACTCAACCTGTTATACATTTAACACTTGGCCTGGCCCACACTGGCTGATTTTTGTTACAAAACAGAGTTAATTCCGAGTGCTTGTCCTCAGCATCAGGTATTTCTGACCCCTGAGAGTGGAATAGAAGGCAGGTTAAAATGGTTCAAGGCAGAGATTCACATGTACAGCCTCAGGGACAGCAAATATAGCTTGTCTCCCTCTCACTGGATAATTATCTCAAATATAGATGTGGCTTGGCTTTGGCAGAGCTGGACAAATCAACTTAAACGTTACATCAAGGCAAAGCGCAAACGGCGCCCCTACGAGGAATATAATTTACATGTGTTCCTGACCAGTAGTATTTGTGGCTTAAATGCCGGATTTCATGCCCCTGGGCAAATCTGCTTGTGTTGTGTTGTCTTTGTAGCAGTTCCCAGTATCTCCGGTCCACTTCACAGTGAAAAGCCCAACAAAAAGAGCAAGCGGACTTCTGACAAGGACTGTGGAACACAGCTACACTGCCAGTCAGACGTTACCCTGTAGTTTAGCATTCCTGGTTAAACTTCAAGCAATGTGCCCATTGTAAGAGCTATTTGAAGAGGAAGAAAGTTACAGGGAAGTTGAAAGTGGAGATGCAGACTGTACAGTCCTCTGACCTTCACCCCACTGGAACTGTTAAAAAGATCATATGGGTCATGTGGGGGCTAATTGTCCAGCAGTGATGGAGTGAACTTCCAGAAAAACACCCTTGAGTCTAATTCTTAATTGAATTCCTACAGTTTGTTCACATGTAAAAGTGACTGTTGTGTCCAGCCTAAAATTTAGACTTTTTTTATTATGTCGGTGGTGTTTTTCATATCAGGGGTCTTCAACTCCAGTCCTGGAGAGCTACGATCCAGTAGTTTTCTATCCTACCGTGCTTCTGATGAGTGACACCTGTTCCTGGTATTTACCCAAAAACAGGTGTGGCTCATCAGAAGGCAGGTTGGATAGAAAACCTACTGGATAGTAGCACTCCAGGACCGGAGTTGGAGACCCCTGGTCTAACATATTGCTATAATTAATTGATATGCGATTCTGTACCTCTTTTTATGTAACACAGATAGGTCTTTAAATTGGAATTTAACACAAGAATCTCAGAAAGAAACAAGAAAGAAAACATCGTTGCACATCCATCTTTCCGGAGTAAATGTCATGGAGCTTAGGGGGCGAATGGGACTGTATAAATTCTTACTCTGCTGCTGCAGGCATGCGATGCCATCACCTTCGAAACCAGGATGGCAGCGGCACTCGAAGGAGCCTGGGTAGTTGGAGCATGTGGCCCTGGGGTGGCACGGCTGGGAGAGGCACTCATCAACATCTGTCACAGAGTAAACAAGGCAGAGTTACATGCATTAATACTCAATGAACAGTGTCACCTGCAAACATAGGCACCAAAATACCATGGGGCCGCGTGGGAAGTACATGCTTTGCATTATGCATGGTTTTGAATAATGGCCCTTAACTGATTTGTTTATGAACCACTGGCAGCTTTGCTTTATCTGTCTTTGTGCCCCGAGGGCAGTCAGATTCCACCTGCCGCTCACGCTCACCTACGCAGGCCTGCTTGTCGAAGCGAAACTCGAACCCGCTGTGGCACTGGCAGTGATGGCCACCCGGGGCGTTCACACACACGGAGTGATCCCCGCAGTCGCTGAGGCCCTCCTTGCACTCATCCAAGTCTGGGGGGGGGGGGGGGGAGTCAGGGGCAGCAGCAGTGTCACCAACTTTGGTCAAATGGCTGGCGTGAGATTTTCAGATCGAGACAAGTCTGCACACTCATTTACATGTATGTAACAGTTTTATTAACTTGTAAATAAAACAGTCTGTGGGGTTTGCAAACTACCCCAGTGCTTTTGATGTAGCAAATTTTAGGTTTATAATGGAATAATACAAATTTGCTGTAAGATTTCTTGTGTAAGAATCAGAAAGTGTAAGTATCACACTAGATGCACTACTGCCCTTAGCAGGAGAGGCAATGCAGACATGCAGAATGAGGATGCAGAAGGCTTTTGCCATGAGTAAGTTTGAAATGATTATGCTTTATTAATCCCAATGGGAAAATTCTCTTCTTGGATCTTGCTCTCCATAAGTGAAAGCAAGCATGGAAGTGAAGGGCAGCCACCCACAGCAGCACCCAGGGAGCTGTACTAAGGCCAGGCTTGAACTGGGGACCTTCTCATCACAGGCACAGAGGCTTAGCTCACTGAGCCACACACTGTCCCTGAGATATATCCTTAAATTCGTACCTGGACTCCTACAGTATAGCCACCTTCTGGCGTTCCACATCAGTGCTCATTGACATCCACCTTCTAATGCTCATTATGGCTTCTAACCTACAAGCATCCATACAGATATATTTCCTGAACACCCCCCCCCCACACACACACACACACTCCACCCCCCGCAGGGTCCCGTCACTCTTACCATGACAGCTATGTCCATCCCCGTGGTATCCCAGGGGACACCGGCAGTGAAATCGCAGCCCCTGGCCGGGGAGGCAGAGTGCCTCCGAGTGACAATTATGGTTCTCTGAGACACAAGGATTCACCAGCTGGAGCTCTGAGAATGGGCAGAAGGTCAAAGTGCAAAGGTCACTGCTTCTCAGGTAACCTCCACTCTTGCACATATAAATTATAATACTGATTTTCTTTCGAGATATGACTTTGCAATATTATCCCAAGTAGTATGTAAGGGATCTTTTACATGATGAGTGTCAAGCGGTGCCCCGTTGGTGGGCGTTCCAGGTCTGCAGGGAGCTGAACGTTCACTCGCAACCCCGTGTCACGCCTCCTCGGGTGAACCGCTCTGCTCAGATTTTCCGTCTTGATGCTGCGCGGCTGACCTGTCTGCGGCTGACCTCTGCGCAGCTGACCTGTCTGCAGCTGACCTATGTGCGGCTGACCTGTCTGCGGCTGACCTCTGCACGGCTGACCTGTCTGCGGCTGACCTCTGCGCGACTGACCTCTGCGTGGCTGACCTGTCTGCAGCTGACCTCTGTGCGGCTGACCTATGTGCGGCTGACCTGTCTGCGCGGCTGACATCTGCGCGGCTGACCTGTCTGCGGCTGACCTCTGCGCGACTGACCTCTGCGCGGCTGACCTGTCTGCGGCTGACCTCTGCGCGGCTGACCTCTGCGCGGCTGACCTGTCTGCGGCTGACCTCTAAAAAATACCTGGTTTTAAAAGTACTTAAGTATCAAAAGTAAAAAGTACTACATATTCAAATCTATTGAGCTTACAAACAGCAATCTATCCTTTTAATTTCACTCAAGAAAAGTTTGAAAATAGCATAATATTATACTGTATCACAATAAATAAAGCTGAATCACAACAGGATAAGCCAATATTTTCTCTTTGGTGGAGCAGTAGAGGTTACCGGCACAGATTAGCAGAATGACATTACATTATTTTTTTTAATCTGTGGAAACAAAAGATTGATCTACGGACCAGACTTAATAATGGATTATGAACATGTCGCCTTTAGACCAATGGCTGATCTTTCAGTGCAGTCATCCCCATTATTTCAGTGCTCGTGTCTTTAGCTCTGGTGCTGCTAACTCTGAATATTGATAATGTTTAAATTTTGGCCGGCAATTTAGGTGTGTTAACTGATATTTTGCGTATCTCTACATATTGTTTTTGCATCTTCATAAGAGAAATACATTGCTCAAGAATCGTGAGATGAAATCGCAATCTCAATTCTGGGTGAAAAAAAATCATGATTCATATTTTACTCAGAATCATATGAGTATGTAGTATGGCTGTTACCTCCTGCCCATTTCCTTATTTCTTTGTATTATTACCAGTAATCATTAACTAATGTTAATCTACATCTACGTAACACCTATTATAGCATATTCCATTAATATGAATTTCTAATATTCTATGTAATACAAGCTGGTGACAAAGTAGATACTATGGTATCCTATTATATGAGGTACAGCTTCCATACATTATCTAGCTTGTGGTAGTTTTACTTACAGAAAAATGTCCTGAGGGCAGAATGAATAATGATTGGTTCAGAGCGATAACCAATGAGTTTGCCTTGGTCCTGCCTCCTCTAGTTGCTTGGACCCACCTCCTCTACAATCTGATTGGTTATCTCTCTGAGTCAATAATTTTTTTTCTGTCCACAGAACATCTTTTGCAAGTAACGCACCCACAAGCCATTAACAAGTCCTACATTTATATTATACTTAGTATTTTAGGTTTAAAAAAGTGCATTCAGAGTCACTATCTCACCATGTACAAACTACAGACCCATATGTACCTGGAACCTCACCTTCCACAGGGCCAACCTTACTTAACATCATGTATCGAAGTGCTCTCTCCGTCTCCTCATACAGGACCATAACCAGCTCTGTGCTGAGCTGCTGGATCTCGGGGCTCGTCCAGGGCCCGTGTGGGCAGTGCCGGAAGGTCACATTCTGCTGTATCTGATAGGAGAAGGTCTCTGACCCACCCTCCGGTGAAAGAACTGTGTACTCTCGCATCGACCTCGAGGTTGCCGCTGGACCATGGAGACACACATCATTACTCAAAATACTCTAAACTGATCATCACCTCACTCACAGCTGGCACTGAATGCAAAAGATAACTGAGTATGGGCCTTAGGTGTACCTGATGAGTGGTAATGGTATATTTCTTTGTAGGGCTTGATTTTCACCATGGTACCAGGTGGCAGACTAGGTATGTCGCCGTATATAAGAGTGTCCATGCTGAGGTAACCGTGGGGGTCCAGATCTCGGGCCTCCTGAACAATGGTGAGATGTTTGTTGCCCGGGTAGAAAATCACTTCTGTGTGGCATGTAAACTCAGCACCTGAGCCAGAGGAGGAAATGAAGCATTTACCACAGAGCTGAAGGCTTTACGTTTCTAGGAACCAAAGTGCAAATATCCTAAATGCATTAGGGTAAAAAGATGCGTTAGATGTGACCTGTAATGTCAGTAATGAAATAGCTCAAAACCTTACCAGTGATACTGAAACCATTCTGATGGTCATATTGTTCCAAAGCAAACAGCCAGCCAAAGACCGCCCCAGTGGGGACTACTGGTAACAAAGCCCATCCGACTGGTTCAGGGATCCGGCTAATTGCTGCATGGATCCGACCATCCACTACCATGACATAGGCATGCAGGTCCACGCTGGCCAGCTTCACTGGAGTGTCCCCCACGAAGACAAGGCCACTCACCTTTCCACTGACACGCTGGGGCAAGCCTGGAAAGCAAGACATCAACACACTGCTGAGTGAATTTGCAGAAAAGTCCCTTCCTAACTGGAGCAGTCATCTACTTCACGTCTGTGAAGATTCTCAGTCATCCAGGTCATGGTAATCCAAATTAATGAATTGGGAAATTGAGAAAGCCCTCTGGATTGAAGGGTGAAACATTTTCAAAGAACTAAATAAGTCCAGTTGCCCTGAAAAACCTTTCTTGGGATAGTCATCTACTTTGTTCAAGGGGCATATGAGGTCATCACGTGAACCTCACCCTCTGCCAGACACTGCTGCCCGTTACCATAGAAGCCAGACTGACAGTGGCAACAACGTCCTGTGGGATAGTCCATGCAGTAGCCGTCTTGTGAGCAATGAAACTGGGACCAGGCACACATCTCCTTGATTTCTGTGTTATATTTGAAAACAGCACGGAACGAGGGAACAAAGGATTAAACTCTGCTAAACAGTGATAATGCTTTTTGAGCAATGATGAAATGACATGACATGATATTAAGATCAACTAAATGACAGAGTTGGATAGTTCAGGTCCAGAAAGTACAAATCCAGATCAAGGCTTTGTTTCAACCAACGAATTGAGTACTCTGTGACTGTGACTTTTTGTACTGGTTGGCTGAAACAAAATCTTGATCTGGATTTTTAATTTTATGGACCTGAAAATTCCACCACTGCTAAATGAAATGTTCATTTCAATTAAATAGTCCCCTACCTTAATACCAGGCCTTGATCTCATAGGTTAATTAGTTGAGACAGAAATGAGTCTCCATTTGTTTTCACACTCAATGACGAGCTCACCTCCAGACCCTGAGTCCAGGTCTTCATCCCCACTAAATGTATCAGATGGAAGGTGGAGGGCAGACTTCCCACCATGTCCACTGAGGTGGACTTTAGGCTCACGCACCCCCCTACTGGAGATGAAGAGTTCTTGCCTCAAAAATTCTGGCAACAATGGAGGCAGAACCTTAGACAGGAGATGAGGATGCGATGATGAGACAGAAAAGTCTTCATGTTGAGGGTTATAGGCCAGTTTCTCTGCACAGTCCATCCTGCTGAAGTCGACACTGGATGATTCCTGACTTGCTGGTGCTGTTGCAGGAACCACATTCTGGAAAGAGAATCTACTACCGATGTGGAAGATCCAGACTCCTGGACAGCCTGCATTTCCCTGCCTGAGAACGAAAACTGGGTCAAAATCACAGCAGTACAGTGGCAGAAAAAATAATGTAAATTAATGAGGCATTCTACCATTCATTGCCAAAATGTATTTATGCTTATGATACATTTTCTTTGTTCAGGTTAACGATGTGGTTCTAAACAGCTTCCTCTCTTTAGCCTATTTAAAGCGTCTCATATTTTCCGGGAGCGAATCAAGTTAAGTCGCCAAAATCATGTGCAGTACGACTTTTGAACATCGGTGTTAGGTGACAGACTTTAACTACCGACGCCTTTCCCAGTGTATCTGGCACTCCCGTGCTTCCGGCACTCGCTCATGCTAGGTCAGAGACTCACTGGTAGAGGTCCTTCAGAGATCGCTCTGTGTTGGCAACACTGTAATAAAGTTCCTCCCCGCGGGACACTGTGAAAGCGGGAACTCCCCCCCTGCTAAATCCCACTCGGGCTGGGATTTCCAAGCCAGTGCTGTAGGGATTCTTCGGCCTTGTCCCAAAGAACTGCAATCCACCCTCTGGATACAGGAACAATGCGTATGACTCTGTCTCATTGTAGGCTAATACCACCTGAAATGTGTTCAGCTAGAACAAAGGAAATTAAATTACTTCACCTGTGACAGAGCCTTAGTGTATTCCATCAATATCAACTTGTCTACTTTCAGCGTACATTCAAAGTCAAACTAATCTTGCAGAGAGTTCTTCTCCGGCTGATACATCAGCCTTCCTGACTGCTCCCAGGAAATAAGCAAATGCCTCAAAGTATTCTGACAAATTGTGACAATATGCTTTACAGCTATACACACTGTCACTGCTGGCATGCATTCAATTTCAGCAGAGCAACAGCGCCCTACTTTCAGACAGTGCAGTGATGCTAAAACAGCATATAAATGACCAATAACTAGTTTCAACATTGTTGAAACTGGACACCGGCCAAAATGGGAAAATTAACCTTTGCAGTTAATATATGTGTTTAGTAATACTTTATTTTCTCTTCTATATAGTGTTCAAGGGGCATTCAAGTTGGGATTCAAGACATTGAGATGATTCTGTAAATTTTTCCAGAAAACAAATTTTCAGCAAGTGTCCAATTTGAACTATACTCACCCTACCTGCTTGTATTAATGCACAGTACAGAACAGTCACTGATAACCCAAAATCCACGTGAAACACGGAATAGCGATGTAGGTTTTACTCACCATACTAGATGCACTGTAGTGGGTGGTAACCTCTTCGTAAGATGCCACATCTTCCCAGGTGATAATGGCAGCATGGGAGGGCATGAACTGAGCCTCGGGGAAGCCACTCCGGACCTCCTTCGCGACCCGCTGCAAGATGCACCATGTATCCTCCACGCGATAGTAGATCGTCCCTCTCCCCTGGCTGGTGTCAAGGTCGGCCAGGAATGGCGCAATAACAGGGAAGGCAAGGGGAAAGCCGCTGTTCACGTACTGACTCTCCAGGGGTGGGACCTGGGTGGAGATGACGCCGTTGGTGGCCACCTGCACAAAGACAAAAAGCTGGTCACAGGGGACCGACACAGCCCAACGGACACAAATGGTTTACTTACATATAAACTGCTGAATCGTGATCCGTAAAAATACATCGGCAGCTTCAGATCGGGAATCCGAGAGATCCTGTCATCTCCCTCATGAAGTGTCAAATCCCTGTTAAGTGTTCCGTAGGGAAACATATCTTTCCGTCTGATGGCTGATATGATGCAGACTTTAAGAATGAGCACTGTTAACTTGTTTCTGATCTGCATGTTTTTTGAGGTAGAGGCGATAGATCTTGTAATGTTTATTTAGTCGGGGATTATTTTCAAACACTTCCTTAAATGCAAGTGAAATCCTCTATAGTTAGACAGGGCGGTCTAGTCGGAAAAGTAGGCAGTTCACTCACAAGACAAAATCGTGTGACATTTTATATTTGAGGTAAAAATGCTCCGAATTAAGCAAACTACAGTTCATTTGCAATAAGACGGATAACATAACCACTGTCTTATTGTCTTTTTTTTTATTATTTCTATGTGCCATATATACTAGTTATACGATGTATTAAACAGAAGATTCCATTGACTTAACTGATGCTTTTGCCGTATGCAGATGAAAAAATTTACAAGTTGCGTTGAATAAAAGACACAAATAAATACGCTAAAACGTGACACCAAACGCGTATCTTTATTTCATTGGAAATATAAGGAAAGTCATGGTTAGCAGGTCTATACTATTTGGATAGAAATTTAGATATATAGATAGAATTCATATAATTTCACTTTTAAAACAATATTATTTTGTTTATAAGATATAGAAAACAGAATTGTACAAATAAAAATTTAAATTCGACAAAGTACTGAAAATTGGTGTTAACTCCATAAGGTGGCGCTCGCGTGAAGCATAAGCGAAAAATCTCCGGCTGATAATGTTTTGGGGAGGAAAGTTGAAGCCTTTCAATAGAGTCGTTTCAAATAAAGTCTTCAAGCGTGGCGACCTGTGATCCTGTGTCATATAGACAACAAACACAGGAGCAGCACCAAAGCTAATCAGGTATTTTGGCCTTAGGCAGGGAACTTACTTTTCTTCAGACAAATTAATTCGATCATCCGAGTGAAATTTTTACGTGGTAGATATCGAAGGTTTTGCATTAATATCCGCATGATTTTATCACTAAATTAACACGGTGAGTGTAGCATGTAACACTGCCGCCCAATAGTAGCCGACCAGAGATTATGGTGAACAAACCGATCTTTAAATTAAAAAATAAAAAGGGGCCAAATTCATTAATTTAATCCTAACATTACCATTAGAAATACATGACCATAACATTGCTTTGAAGGTTATGCTCCAGCAACAACGTCTGTCTTGTGATAAGATTTGCAAAGAGGTAAATGTGTGTGTGTTTTTTTTCCGTGGGATTGTGTAATGTTTACTTTTAGCTCTGGCCATTAATCACACTGCTGTTTAAAGTAAGCGCGATGTCTTAATGTGCTTAATGGAAACTATCTTAAGTGATTAGCCTGCTCCTTAGTGCCCCCATCTACCCTTTCATTTTAGTTTTTACAGGAAAATTATGCTCTAGTTCCATATAAACGTGCTTCCGTGCTTCCTGGGAAGGGCATCCATTCATTTTCATTAATGTCAATTACACATCATTTTTAAATTAAACTAGCTGATACTTGACCTGTAGTCCTTTTTCGAAAGAAGAAAGTGAAAATGACCTACGTTTAAACTAAAAAAAAACTGCACTTCTGTCAGTTAATAATGGCCTTCTTCATGATCTGCTGTATGAAGCTTAGAAATCCTGTGAGTCGATAGCCATTACCGCCGAAAAATGAACACAAACTGCACACCAGTGACAAACTCGAAACCTCTGCAGTGAGAGTTGTAACCAGAAGCTAAAACTATGAGCACATTGCACCGGTTCTGAGGGTCTGTTCACTCGCTGCGTGTTCCTTTCCAGACAAACTGCAGAATCGGCCTACCCACTCGTACGCCATTAAAATGTCACATCGCCGCATTTCTAGCCTGAAGTGTGCAGACCCAGTTCACAGAATGCAGACCTTGCAATTCCTTGAACAAACAGAAGCCAATAAGGCCTTTAAGGAGAGCTCTGTGTGCCAGTCTGCCCCTTGCTGTTGTTTAAATGTAGACAGACAACCTGCTATTTAAGTCTATGTTACCCTGAATAATGCACTGCTCTACAAGTAGCTTTATGTGTTTATGAATGTCTGTCATACTTCAGTATAAGTAGGAACCCACTATGTTTCTTAACTCCCATCTGTGCCTGGGTGCTGCCTGTGCCCCCCAGGGGGTGGAATTAGCACAACGCCAGATGTAACCCTAATCCACACCATGGCTGCTGTCCCCAGGCCGAAACGCTGTCTGCCACTGGCTCTCCTAACCGTGATGGACAAGCACTGTACAAGTGACAAGTGACTGTATTTCTGAAGTTACATTCATATATTTTTCATTACATATCATATACTTTTATCCAGAGCAATGTGCAATTGCGGAAGCAGTATCAGCCGATCCCTGGAGGGAAATCATTCTTCCAACTAGGGGATTTGAACCAGTGACCATCTGATGATGGGCACAGAGCCACAAAAACTCCACACACAAATCCCTTGCAGGGTTTGCCAGTAACCCTTTTCCCTTCTATAACTGCCATAAAAGCTTTTTTTAAAATTTTCTTTCTTCTGTTGTCTTTCAGATTTTTTCCTACTGAGATTTCTAATGAGATTCTATATTTTCTGTTGCTGTTTCATTCCACGCTGCCCGGCGTTGTCGTTATTTGAATTTATATCAGCAAATACTTAAAAGCCAATGACTGGATTATTATTACAGCTCAGCAACGTTATGCAGCAATAAAATAAAGTCAGCTGAGTACCTGAATCTACTGAATGGCCAGGTTTCACCTCCATCCATCATCAATGGATTTTTTTCTTCCCTGTTGGCATGGGCATATTCCAGGACAAGAATGCCAAGATTCATTGGGTTCGAATTGTCCTAGAGTGGTTCAGGCAGCATGAGGAATCATTTTCACGCGTGACTTGGTCACCACAGAGTTGTGACCTTAACCTCATTGAAGGTCTTTGGGATGTGCTGAAGGAGGCTTTATGGAGTGGTTCAACTCACTTGTCAATACAGGACCTCGGTGAGAAATGAATGCAAATCTGGAAGAAAATAAAGGGTGAGATGTTGCATTAGCCTGTGGAAACAATGCCATGTCAAATGTGCGCCATAATCAAAGCTAAAGACGGTCCAATGAAAAATTGAAATGGCGACTTTTTTTTGGCCAGGTACTGTAGTGTATAATGCAGTTCAACCATTGATAAGAGCTTTTGAAGGGCACTACTTAAAGATAAAGTGAATATGAACTAATAGCCAGTGGAAATAAAGTCTTGCTGTCAGACAATGACGTTTGTGAGATGTTTCTGCTTTACTGCCTTTTCCAGGTACAGACTCTCAACTTTTTGACTAGTGATTAAGGCAGCGGGAAACACAGAGTGCCCTCCGTTGTCGCATTACTGCGGGAAACACAGAGTGCCCTCTGTTGTTGCATTACCGCTGGAAACACAGAGCGCCCTCCGTTGTCGCATTACTGCAGCAGTACATTCTCCAGTTCAGTTTATATCTTCACCCACAAATTGGGCAGACCGGCGCCACTTCATGCGAAAATCCTCTAAATCTGTGTTTAAGATAAATGTGTTTGCCTTGTTGCCAGGCAATACTAATCTAAGGAATATCTTTACAGTCTTTGTACTCCAAGTAATGTCTTTATAGGTCCTGTAGACATCCCATTAATGACCCCATTAATCTGTGGGGTGCTTACAGACCGCTGTATGCAATGTGGTTTTAAGGGTATTATGAAACAAAGAAATTTTGATAGCATCAGGACACGGATTAATTGTTAAAAGAGAGTCAGCTGGACTATAGGATGAAAGAAGTGCTCCTCCTCAACTAGTATTAATGCCATTTTTAGTCAATTCGGTTTAGCCTTGTTGGGCACAAAGTGTAGGGAAGACCTTGCAAATCAGGGAGCATCTTATTTGCATGTGAAATCCAGAAGAGTGCACCGATGTCATCTGCCTGAGTTAAGAAATACACTCAGTTCACAGGCCAAGTCTGCCAGCGTCTGTACCAGACAGACAAACAGGCAGCAGCTCACATGGGGTTTGTCTGAGTCTTGCAATGTGTCGGACATCAAAAGGGAACGTGCCAAACGGGCATGAGTTTTGGTAGGAGGCTGGTGGGTCATGCTCAGTTACACAACAGTTTATTTCCACATTCCTATTTGGAGTAACATGCGAAAACAAAATTTCTAGTTCAATTGGTTCACTTAGGACATGACTTGAGCGTCATAACAATGCTCAGCCAATGGGAAATCTAATGTCACTGTCTAGCGGTTTATTTCCCCTCTTAGAGAATAAGAATATGGAAAGACAACTGTCACATCTGCTCCAGAATCCAGTCACTAATAACCTGATGCAAGCGTGGTCCTTCCACAAGCTACAGTCACCTCCTAATGATCCTGATGTCCCATTAGCGACATCTGCAATTAATGTATCTAAGACCATTCTGATCAGTCTCTGCTTGCATAGTCTTGCGCTTTCATTTTGCCTGCTTGGTTTCAGTTTTTGGGGCTCTTGATCTGGGTTTCGAGTCAGTTAATGTTCTTTTGCTCTCTGATTATGGTTCTGGTTCTGCAGTGTGGGTCTGTTTCATTGACTCTGCTTCTGACTTTCAGTTTGTTTTCCAGTTCCTGCTCCTGTTCTTTGTGTCCCTTTAGACAATTGTTCTTGCTTAGTTATGAAACGTTGTCTTTCACCTGATCAATTTGTATACGGTACAACCTCAAATGGACTCCACACAGCCAGTGGCTCATGTCCTGTCAGTACTGGCTGCTAGGAATCTTGCCAGATGATGAGGTAAATATTGACAGGCAGGAAATATGGCCGCGAGGGTGTGTGGTTTAGGGGAACCCCTTCTCCCTGAGGCTGTGTACGGTGTTCAGCACCTTGCTAATAAAGTTATTATGGCAACCAATTGTGTTTCATGTTAATAAGTCTGTCTTTAATAACCACTTATCCATTGCAAAGCATAATTTTGAGCCAGGAGCTAATAGCAGGAGGTACAGGGAAGGAGGCAGGTGACAGCCGGGATGCGGGGCAGGTCACACAAACACATAATGCCGCTGGAGTGACAGGAAACCAGATGAAACATGCATGAATGTGAGTGTTCAAATTCCACACACACACACACACACACAATCATGTAATCATATCTTTTTGGGGACCGCTCATTTATTTCTATGGGAAAAATGCTAACTCTAACTATGAGAACCTTAACCCCTACCCAGCCCTAACCATAACCATAAGTAACCAAAGAAAATACAAGAGTTTTTACATTTTTAGTTCTTGTAGTCATGGATTTTTATGAAATAGTTTTCCCATGTGGGAACCAGGAAACTGGTCCCCATAAGGTTACAAAAACTGGTATTCATCATGATGTGGGGACATTTGGTCCCCACAAGGTAAGGTATACCTGGACCACACACACACACACACACTCCTCGTTTTCTGCTTGGAGGTGTGTTTGATGTCCCTAGGGGTGGGAGGCTGCAGTGCAGCTCCAAGCCTCAGCTGCTTTATGTGTGTCTTCATATTTAATATATAATGTTTATAATTCATCAAACAATAAGACTGTATTGTAAAAACCAGAATGACAGAAATGGACTGAATTCTTTAACACTCTGTAACTTTCGCCTGACGTTTTTTCCCCGAAGCAGCGCCTTCTGATCATGCTGAGGCAGCAGAAACAGCAGTAAATTGTGAAACCAATGTGCCATTTTCTGCTTCAGCAACCTGAGGAAAGAAAAACAGTAATTTCCTAAATTGCGGAAATCTTTGAAGTTCATGGTGTAAATATAGATGATTTGTGCACACATAATTTACAAACCAAAGAAATCTAACAAGATGGATGCACACTGTTTAAACAAATATTTGTATGTAATATAGACAATTTTGTAGTCTATGCAAAAATAGCACGATTCAGAATCAGTTCAGTTACATTGGATTTTTCATTAGACTTGGAGATGATCGCGATATTAGCGTGGTGGAACCTAGACACTGTCAAGTAGCTTATTTCTACTGGGGCATAGCCAGAGAAAATCTGCGTCATTCAGAGGATATCAGAGCAGCACCACGCGGTCCCTATCTAATTACAATATTTATCCATCAGCCAACATATTATTAGTTTAAACAATATCGTGACAGACAACCACTGAACATATGCTGTCCAATAAATTGAATTGATATGCTGATGAACATTTATGCAGGGCAATGAAAGACACTTATTGCTAAGAACAAAAGGCGTAACATAATCCTATATATTTTTTTGCTGATGATTCAAGACGGCGCTTTATGTATGGTACTCCGCTTTCGATTACATCTACGTGGTCATCAGTAAGTACCATATATTTCATAACACGTTTTCATCTGATTTTGTTTGTGGCAAAAGTACTCAGTAAAAATGGGCTCGATCTCAGGATTCTCCTAGAATGACCCTGGAGAACCGTAGGTTCTACACATTATTGATGAAATAATTATGTTACACAGTGCGACATACAAACATATGTGTATCCATCATTAACGGATCTGAAAACGTGTTATGAACTAATTTAGACTGAGTTTTTGACAACTCATAAAAGTGATGTCTATTCAAAAAGTTCTGTCAACATGAATTACTAAAATTGAGTTTGAGGGTGCGTAACTCAGAGTTTCCCGTCTGTGGGCTCGGTCATCTTTCTTATGAGCCCCGGACCCGGCGCCCCCGAGCAGGGGGTGTGTCACCAGCCCCGTGATGTCACAGGTCCTCGTTCCTCGGGGGGGGCTCGCCTGGCTCGCCTCCACTCCGCCTTCTCCTTGAAGGTCCGTTTCCACACCTGCCCCACGCCGCCTTGACCCCACCCAAGGTAGTTATAAATCTCTACAGGACGAACTCAGTCGAGAAGAAAAGATAGCAGATATGAACCAAGAGATATTCACAAATTTCCGGTGATATTACGTAGGCGTGAATGACTCCTCGCTTATTAGTGCATGGGCGGTTTCAGTAAGTTAGAGCAGTAGTTTCGGAGACAGTATCGGTATTAGTAGCGCTTTTCCATGTTTCACCTAATCGGCTTGTGGAGGAATGCAGCAGAAGATGAGCGACGATCTAGTACCAACGGCAGAGATGAATGGAAAACTGAACTTTAAGTTTCTGCGAATCATATTAAAACAGGAGTGAAAAGATCTGAAGAAGAGGGAGCCTATGGCGGTGGAGAATGGAATTTGTCCTCTTATAAACCATACTATGTCCGGGAGCCCCACAATGTCGGGTCTGATGTTCTCAGGCGGAGTCGTGGGAAACCTAGTCGCTCTTTTGCTTCTGGAGGTCCATCGGAGGAGGGAGCAGGTCCGTCAGCGCCAGTCGCTCTTCCACATACTGGTGACTGTACTTGTGGTTACGGACCTTCTGGGAACCATATCCTTAAGCCCACTTGTACTGGCTTCTTACGCGACTAAAGTGTCTCTGGTGGGAATGAATAAGCACGTCTGTACATACTTCGGATTTAGCATGACTTTTTTCAGCCTGAGCACCTTGGCCATTCTTTTCACCATGGCTCTGGAGCGCTGGATCTCAATAGGAAATCCTTATTTCTACGAGAGGCACGTTACCAAGCGTTGCGGATACATCTCGGTAGCTTTCATATTCATCGTTTGCATCTGTTTCTCCGTGTTACCCTTAATGAACTTCGGGGAATTTGTGCAGTACTGCCCGGGCACCTGGTGCTTCATTCACATGCAACACGAAATGATCCAGCACATAGTTTACGTCAACCTGTATGCCACTCTGATGCTCGTCATCATATCCTCGGTAGTGCTCTGTAACGTGTCCGTCATCTGTCACTTGGTCCTCATGTACCGAAGGCGCAAACTCAACCAAGGATCCACAGTAAGAAGGAACCGGCGGTATAAGAGGTCCCTGTCTATGTCAGAAGAAGTCGAACATATGATCCTATTGGTGTTTATGACGGTGGCTTTCCTCATTTGCTCAGTTCCACTAGTGGTGAGACTTTTCTTTATTGTTCATTAAAGCACGTCAAGTTAATGATTAAAAACGCGCATCCATTTACGTTGCAGTCCCGTACTTTTGCAGTAATCAGAGGTCAAGGTAGTGTTCCCTGTGCACTTCTAATTTATGCAAAGCACCTCAGATTTGCTTAACCTGTTTTATTTAGGCGTGTGTATTGAAGTGAACTGGAGACATTGCTGACCTTCAGGAATAAGCTGTTTTTGTTAGCAAACATGCATCCTTAAAATTAGTTTATATATTGTAAAAATATTTGTCCTTCAGAAGTACATTTTTTTTACAGTACAAGAAACTGGTAGATATTTTGTAGAACATCAATGTGGAATATATGGGAGAAGAAAGCTCTGAAGAGCAAGGTTTTCCAATTTTCTAAGTATTTTTCCAAGTACGAAAGCTGATAATGAATCATCTTGAGGAAAATTACCAACATGTCACTGTCTAGTTTAGAAGACTCTCTCAGACACACTTGAGGTGCCATTGGTCTTTAGCAAACAGGACTGAGACAGGCTAGAGTGGCAGTGTAGTGGTTTGTAATCACTGCAATTTCAAATTATAGTGCATTTAGAAAATTATTTCCGCTGGTATACTAAAAGGAAGGAGGAAGCTTCCTTCAAACAAAGATGTGTCCCATAGATGACCCTAAATATAACTACAGTCTTCAGGGAAAAAGGCTTTAAGCAATTTTGCGTAATATGTGTATTGTTTATCTAATGATGATTTGAACTTTGTTCCCACTGTAGATCCATGTGTACATCAACACAGCATCCAAGTCTGCAAGTGGCTCCAAGAATTACCTTGGAGCTCTCCGCCTCCTCTCCATGAACTCTATCATAGATCCCTGGGTCTATATTATCCTTAGCCCATCTGTGCTGCGCTTTCTGCGCAGGACCTTGTGCAAACAGGGCCAGCGAAGCAGGCATGGAGTGGATGAAGATGTGGGCACCCCGTCAAGGCTCTCCAATTACAGCACCTCTGTGGAGCTCAACAAAGTCCAGATCATGCCCTGGGTTAACTAGCTGAATGCCAGACAGGCAATTCCCAGATCCCCGATGACTCTTTACTTGACCGCCATTTCTATAATGTGTCCTCTCTATAACCGGACAATTTTTGGCACTTTTTCCACTGATCCCATCGAACTTGAATGCAAACAGCAAATACCAGCTCCAGAGAAGGTTCCCGGGAATTACGAGTGCGTAAGCGGCTATAGGGGCGGGTTACACCCCTCTGGCTTTGCCAGAGCTTGACAACATGACTGTAAGACTTTGATAGTAAACATCACTCTCAATGTGTAATTGCAAAGTTATTTGTAAAATAAATCAAAATGTTTTACTCTTATTTGTGGTATATATTATTAATTATTCTGATTGTGAGCCTGTATTTAAAAACATTTGGCAGACCACAGTAACGTTGTGGTAACATTTCGGTTAAGAAAATATACTTCTTATTAACAATGACATTTATGAAATTGTTCGAAGAATGTCCATCCATCCATCCACCTTCAAGCCGATTTCCTGGTAAGGGTCACAGGAGGCATCACAGGATGCACTGCATGGGCTGGGATGCACCCTGGATGGGATGCTAATCCATTAAAGCCAAGGAATTTCCAAAATGTAAAATTATATTCAAAACGTCCTCACCTGTTTTGGAGGAATTATGGGTAAATGAGTCATTTATTTGTGATCAGTTGTTGCATTATCAACATCTACACCTACATCTAATGTACATCCGGCTTGATGTTTTAATAGCTTGGCATGTTAAAGGTCCATACAACAATATTATCTCTCCTTATCTTATCGTACTGATGTAGATTATTTTTCTAGTAATGGTAATTTACTCTGGTGCTTTTTTAGACAGAGAAAATTAAATTGTGATTCTCTGCCTTTTAGTTGTTTGTTTTTTTCTGATCTTGGTTCCGAGTAGTTAGGTGACTTCTGATTTGTATGCACTCAAAGTGGAAAATGTGGAAGTTTCAAAAATGAAAGCGATGTCAAAACCTTCGCACGCTTTCCTAGCAGCAGAGTCTCAAACCCGGGAAGCAGCGAGAGCTTTGAAAAGCGCCAGGGTATGTTGTCTGGCTGCAGAACAGACATCACTGCCGGCTGCTCAGGCGCCTGCCAGTTGCTTTTCACCAGTGGCTGCGCCTCACCGCCAGTTAGCATGTCATTTTTTAAATAGTGCCAAGTCGCTTGACTGGGAAGAGAACTGGAAGAGTGCCCTCAGCTATCTGGCACACAAGGAGATATGCGTTATTTATTCAGCTGTTTCATAGTAAAAGCCCTTCATCCACACAGGGTCTAAATAACCTTACAGTTGGTTACATTTAAGCTTTACTTCAATACATGTTTATGAAAGACAGATAAATATTCTATGTTTTTCAGTTTTTTACTGCCATGGTTCTTTGCTCCTTATTGGTCATTTGAATCACCAAGGCCACCATGGTAGATTGGAACAGTTTTAGGACAGTGACCTGGAAGCACTTGAGTGTGACAGTATGTTTATTCCCCGAACCCAGCAACTACTGCGCAGCAGAGACAGGAAACGGCAGCATTGTGCATTGACAGAAATTGCAGTTGTGCATCACGTTCCCACGCATACACACACACACACACACACACACACACACGCATCACAGAGTGTACGTGACATGGGTCCAACCAACAAGCACGCTCAGTACAAGTATGAGGGGGAGGCCACTTTCTAGGTCCTTCTCAGTGTGTGTGTGGCGGGGGAGGGGGGGGGACACGGTACGTTAAGGCAGACTCAGTCAGGGGCCAGTGGGGAGTGCAGAATGCTGACAAAGTGTGGCTGTGGGAGCAGAGAGGGGAACAAGACATTCCAGATGTTCTGTAGCAACCAGAAAGCAGTGCTGATACGGTTCCATTCTTCTTCCTCAAATGAGTCATTTATTATGTTAGAATGAAAACCCCAGAATGAACAGCAGAATCAGAAAAACCCCCTGTTGGTGATTATATGATCTTTCCCTATTTTTCAGATGAACCCTTATTACTTGACCAGATAGTGTCCTAACTGCAAGTAAACAAAAGGACAATTTTTGGGATGTAGATGCGACCTCATTCAGCAGTGCTATAATTTGCTGAAAATGAATAGTGGGTAGCTGGATGGATGGATGGATGGATGGATGGATGAACTGTAGGAATAATGCTCTGTCATCTTAACATGCACACACATAAACTCAGAAGAGTTTCTGAAAGGCTGCAAGGAAATCATAAGCCTTTCTTAAGATCATAACCACCAGAAAATATGAAACTTGGAGCTCTTCCCATGGCATTTTTAATCAAAATAGGCCTATTTTAAAACCAGAAGTGATTGTTTTAATTTTGTTTACCAGATGTTACTTCACTAAACTTCCAGCTTGGGAAAACATCTAACTTTTTAAAATAAAAATGATTTGACTGGAATACATAGTTCGGTTTTGTTCCTCAAGACATGTTTCTGTCAAACAAACCAGTTCTGTGCACGTTTTGAGGCCTTTTCTGCTTGGGTTACGGTGGAGGGAGAGTAACAACAACATTCATTAGCTCTGATGTTGGAAAGAAGTGTACTTTTCGCACTATTTGGGATCAGCTGGTCTATTTTTATTGGACATTCTTTATTCCTGCTTAAATCTTTATTTCTTAAGAACAGGAGCACATTATTAATCAATAATTATTGGTGGCAATTTCAAGGCATGCACTTTTATCTAACGGAAAATGCAGTGCAGTATATTACACTCAACTTGTGTTACTGAATTGTTCTACTGGATGTATATAAACAATTGCATTCAATGTACTCAGCTTAGCCTAAATGTATCAGTAGTATTAATAAATTGTAAATAATCAGGAATTAGGGTAGCTTACTAGACTGAAAAGCTCGTAGAAGTGTTGTGGAGCTTATTAACTAAAGAGAGAAATGTTATCTTCAGTCAATCTTCAGTCAATGACGCATCTTGTCTTTAGATTGTGATCACTGAGGATATCGAGATCAGCGATCTGCTCTATTCACAAACCCATGCCTTTTTTTTGGCAGTTAGGTGTTTTGACATTAACATATGATATGTCCATCACAGAGATGCTGGTCTCATTTCTTGTGCCATCCAGAGTAATTCCCCACCCTGTATCTATTCTAAGAACATTCCAGTAATTCTTGTCAGTTCTACTACAGTCCTACCAAAACATTACTATCTCCTTGCAACATGTATATCTTTTCCCCTTCTGTAACCACAAAGGAAGTTGCACCGACAGGAAAAAGCTGTATTAAAGGAATAAGTGTAACTGGAGCCCAGTCATTCCCACGAGAAGTCTAATAAAACAGCCTAATCTCTTAATTTTGAAGCAGCTGTGCATTATTGATATGTTGGACATTTCAATGTCAGATCATGTGTCCCCCTTGGCATTAACGCTTGCAAATATGTATGTAGGCATGCATAAATGTTTTTTTGCTATGTGTATTTATAGTTTGGAAATTTATTACTCTCTCCATCAGGAGTTGAATATGAATCTGACACACTATGCTGGGTATCATCTAAAACACAGTGAATACATAATGTTATTTCTGTCGTGTATGATCAAGGGATGGGAGAAAGTCACTCCTTGGTGAGTCCAAGTGTTGAGTCAAAATATTGCAAATCTGAGTCAAATCTCAATCCATGTGCCTTCAAGTCCAAGTCTTTCCATCATTTTTGGTGTTGAGTCATCAAATTTGTGACTCAAATCTGAGTCGATTTATGAGTCATGTAACTCGAGTTACCTCTCATATGATCTAGATATAATCAGCCCTGAGTCTTTGGTTCTGAGTACAGGTTTAACTTCGAAAGAACAAGGACTTAGAACAAGGTAACTCAGTGTCATGACGCATGTTTGAGATGCTGAATTTTTCATTTTATGCAAACGCAAAGAACATAATTCATGTCCCACGGCAGATCATTTTGTGTTTTAGCAAGGATACTGATGAATGCTGAAATGACAGATTTTTTTTGACTCAGAAAAAGTCCTTTGTTCATTGACAAACATCCGCATGTGATTCCAACCGCAAGAACTAAAAAAATGAAGGCGTGTGCCTAAAATGCGTGCATTTTTTACTCATGCTTGGGCTTGTCCCGCATACTGCACGCAAGATGGTTACCTCATTTTGATATTCCCGCGGTGCCAGCAGCTCTCCCTTCACACACATCCCCGCCGCTTCCTGACCGGCGCTGAGCGAATGGCCCTTCCGTTGGGCTGTGGACCGGTGCCACCAGCCGGCACGTCCAGGAACCTGGAGCTCACTGTCCAGCCAGACTCAGGCTGGGAAGACGCCAACTATGGTCGAAGTGTGAGCGCGAGGCGGCGGTGAAGGCCACCGGCAGGATATCATGAACTCTGCTCCACTCGAAAGGAGCGTCTTACAACCGATAAGTACCAGATAGTACAAAAATGCAAGAATGAAGCCCGGGATTATTTACGGAATCTGGACATTTGAGCTTGCTCAAAATCCCAGAAGTCCTGCAACAACTTTGTACCCTTGAGCAATTTATTACTCAAGTGAACTTCCAGCTGTAGTAACAAAAAAGAAACAAAAGAAACAACAGCAACCATTTAGGGCTACTTCAAATGAGAGTGTGCCGTTTGACCATCAGATGTATGGTAATGGTGAAAAGTCACCTACCGTCCTGGCCAGTTTTTTTTTTTTTAAATCATTATGTTTTTCCATGACTGACAAAGTAATTATGAAGAAATTCCCCTCAAAAGCACTCTCGGCCCATTTTCTTCATGACTGAACATTGGGCCACCCAAAGGAAACTATTAATCCTGTGTGAAAAAAAGACGCTTCTGAAAACAATCCACAAATCGACAGCATGTCTACGATTTTCATTAACAGCATATGACCTATAAGCTTTACTTTTTCCTCAGATCACCAGTATTTTACCACTGGGAAATGACACTACACCTGTACCAGGTGTCTCTGTCTGGTAGTCAGTGTGGTAACAATTTTAAAATAATATGTAAAAGTCCGCAGTGAAGTGTTCGTCCTGGCTGGGAATTGCATGAAGATACCAACTATGGGCTGTGATCCATACGCCAAGAAAAGTACTCAAAAGTGCTGTCAGGGATCGTGAAAAGGGAAAGAACATTATTTGGTGTAGCTTCCAATACGAACAACAACATGAGAAGATACCATCAGTTCTTGGTGCAATTTCTTCTACAATTTAAAAATTAATGTACCGGATAGGTTTGTACCTCCTTACTTATTAAGAGCAATTTGTGCTGTAAAAACACAGTCTAGCACTTCGGCATAGCAGAAATAAACAACCTGCATGTGTAAAACAGAAAATGAAATGACTGTCTGGCAACAAAGGC